TCGGGGTGCCCTCCTGCCGATGCCGTGGGCACAGTCACGCGGGCCCTGCAGTGGGTACTAGTCCTGGAGAGCTGGCGCCCCCAGGCCCTCTGGGCGGTGCCTCCTGCCGCCCGTCTGGCCCGGCTCATGTGTGTGTTCCTGGTGGACAGTGACCTATTCCGGGAGACCCCAGTACAGCGTCTGGTGGCAGCCCTCCTAGCCCGCCTCTGCCAGCCCCAAGTCTTGCCAAACCTCAACCTGGACTGCCCACTTCCTGGCCTGACGTCTTTCCCTGACCTGTATGCCAGCTTCCTAGAGCATTTTGAGGCCGTCTCCTTTGGAGACCACCTCTTTGGGGCTCTGGTCCTCCTACCCCTGCAGCGTCGGTTCAGTGTGACCTTACGTCTTGCCCTCTTTGGGGAACATGTGGGAGCCTTGCGTGCTCTGGGCCTGCCTCTGAGCCAGGTATGTTCTCAGCCTGGCAGCAGTCCTGGGCCAGTCCTGAGCTGTGGGGTGCTTTGGGGGGCCTCAGGATCCTCATCTTCCCTCTTGGGGGCTCTGAAAGGATTAAGTAACAGAACCCATGAAAAGCATTTAGCACAGTATCTGGCATATAGTAGGCGCTCACTGTGATTAACAAGGCATAGCTCCTTGCTCAGAAGGTGCTACAGTCCACATAAGAGATTTACTGAAAACCATCACCATCCTGAATTGTTCAGACTTTAAGTGTCAGGTCAGGATTCAGAGGAGGGAAAGATCAAAGTGGTCTGTCCATAAGGAGAAGGCTTTGTAGAAGTAGTTTGGGCACTGAAGGTTGGGCAGAATTTGGATTGTTGAGAAGGAGGGAAGATGTTCCCAGTGGAACAGCATAAGCAAAGGCTCAGAGGCAGGGAGGAGTATGACGGGGTGGGGGAGGGAGGCGGCTAGAACAGAGATTCCTTTTTCAAAACTTGTTAGAACCAAGGCTGAGAAGCAAAGTCTTGGAGGGCTTCAAATATCAGGCTAAGGAGTTTAAACTTGTTGACTATTTTTTTTTTTTTTTTAAGATTTGGTTTTTTATTATAACCTATTTGGTGAATTTAAAATATAAACATTTTAAAATATAAATCCATAAATATATTCAATAGGTTTATATAAAATATTAACATATTTTATATAAAAAGAATTTAAAAATATGAAGTATTTTAACGAATTAAAAAAGAACATTAGAGTCATCCATAATCCCACTGTGAAGTGGTAACCCCTGTTTACATTGTATCTTTTTCTGGTCTTTTTTAATGTGCATACATATTTTTATAAGACTGGGATCACTCTGCATAATGTGTGTGTTTTTCATTTAACATTACATCATAAGCATTTCCCACCTCACTAAATATCCTAAGAAATCAACATTTTTTATTATATCATAATCCATTGTGTGGTGTGCCCCCGTTAATTTTATCAGAACCCCTTGGTGAGCATGTAAGTGGTTTCCTGTTTACTATTTCAGTAACATTATGATAAACCACACTGGACATAAACTTTCTCTGTATTTCCCTGGTAATCATTTGCTGTGTGGAATTAAGAATAACTTTCAAAAAGAGAAGTACTGGTCCAAGGAACATGAACTTTTGAAAGGTTTGATCATGTAACTGAGCAGTTGAACATGACATTTTGAAAGTTGTAAACGTCAGTAGATTCAACAAGTAGTGATGCTTCTCACCCAGTTCCCAGCTTCCCCTGCTTTCTGGCTCTGTAGCCTTTCACCTGGATCCCTGTGATAGAGAGGGCTGGCGTCTATCCAGGCCCTACCTCTGCCCTCACGGTTAGGTTTCATGTGCCCACCAGCCACCCACCGTGCTGTGCAGGGACGCACATTCCTACCCTTACCTCAGCATGTCTCATGTCCCGTTACAGTTGCCAGTGGCCCTGGAGTGCTACACGGGGCCTCCCGAAGACAACCTGGCCCTCCTTCAGCTCTACTTCCGGGCCCTGCTTACTGGTGCACTCTGTCCACGCTGGTGCCCTGTGCTCTATGCTGTGGCTGTGGCTCATGTCAACAGCTTCATCTTCTCCCAGGACCCCAAGTGCTCAGTAAGTTACATACCCATCTCCAGAGGGAGGGCAGCTGGGGAAAAGGTGAAGGCTGAGCAAGGCCCGTGATGGTGCCCGCCCTCAGCCCAGTGCCACCTCTCCCTGTTCTGCCTCCAGGACGAGGTGAAGGCCACCAGCAGGAGCATGCTGCAGAAGACTTGGCTGCTGGGAGATGAGGTGGGGGCACATCCTGGAGGGTGGGAGGCTAGAGGGTCTTGGGGGATGGAGACCGATAGGATCTCACTACCCACCCCATAAAGTTTCTTCCCTCTTCACAGTGTCTCCGGAAACACATCCTCCACTATAAGCTTCCGAATTCAGCCCTCCCAGAGGGCTTTGAGCTGTACCCTGAGTTGCCCCCGCTGCGTCAGCAGCACCTCCAGAGACTTATCTCAGGGGTACTCCAAACTAGAGGGTCCGAAACCTAGTATGGCTGCTACAGATGGAGAGATGGCTGCCTTTTCCTGAGGTTCACCAAGAGACCTGCCCACCTGGCAGGACATAGGGGCTGCACGTGGGCAGGACACAAAGGAGCAGAAGGCTTGCCTTCCTAGGGGTGGGTCGTTTGAGCGTCTGTGGAGCAGAGTGAGCCCTACATTATATCCTGATAGCTGGAGTTCAGGATCTGGGGCCTCTGAGGGTCTGTGCTGGAAGTGAAGGATGACTTTGCTAATTACCCCCTCCTTGGGGACAGGACAAACTAAATACACTTTACTCTTCCCCAGCCCCCCAAGCCAGGATATGAATGTTATTTCTGTGGATTGAAATAAATTTATTTTTTTTTTTAATCTGGGAATCTGATTGGTACTGATTTCAGATGTGCTGGTTGGGAATTGGTATGAAAGGGTGGTTTGTCCCAGGGGTGGCTCAGGACTGCTGTGAGAGCTGCGGGAGGAGTCACAATGGGAGGTGAGAACCGGCTCCGCGTCTGGGGACAGTAAGAACATGGATCCCGGCTCCAGGGTAAAGCCAGAGCAGGGCAGTGCTCTTGGGAACGGGGGCACGTCTGGAAGGACTTTGTCAGCAGACCAGCTGAAGTACAGGTGTCCTTAATGAGGGCAGCGTTTAGTCTCCTGGGCCCCTATTTCCATCAGCTGTTATCCAGAGACGCAGAGAAGCCGAACATCGGACTGGTGCGCTAACTGTCCGACACCAGTGTCAGCTTCCTATATCAGCTTCATTGGTGGTAGGCAAGAGCCGGGGAGGATGGGTCAAAACAAACTCTGGCTCATCCCTAGTCTATGGAGGTTCTTTGGTCTAAATCCTAGCACTCAGGCTTTCTTCCACTGTCATTTGTTGTGTGCAATTAAGTATTGTCGTTATGTTTGGAGATCATGAGGGTGAGTATAGTGTACCAGGCCTGGCCCTGCCAGTAGGTAGAGAGAACCCACCCCCCATAAATGGGGCTGCTAAACACAGAGTTGTCCAATATAATAAGCAACTACCGTATATACGAAAGGCCTGGTGATCTGCTTCCCAAATGTCAGCCACTGAAAACCCTACGGAGCACGGTTTGACTCTTTCACACACGGGGTCGCCGTGAGTCAGATCCAGAACCGACTTGATGTATGCTGTAACTACACGTAACAGTAGTTCTTAACACTTTGTTGTTGTGTGCCGTCAAGTGGATTCCAACTCATAGCCACCCTATGGGACAGAGCAGAACTGCCCTATAGGGTTTCCAAGGAGCGGCTGGTGGATTTAAACTGCCGACCTTTTGGTTAGCAGCCGAGCTCTTAACCACTGTGCCACCAAGGGTCCACTCTTAACACTTCAGCATGTGACAAAAGTCACCTGGAGGGGTGTGTTAAAACAGATTACTGGGCCCCACCGCCAGATTCCCATAGATCTAGGACAGAACCCAAGAATTTGCATTTCTAACAAGTTCCCAGGTGACGCTGACTGTGCTGTCCAGGAATCAGCCAAATTTAGAACCATTGGCCTAGAGGGACCTGTGACCTCCTAGTGGGATATCTACAAAGTTAACTAGGGCGTGGGTGCCAGAGTGTTTACAAAATCACTGTTGTGTCTGCATCTAGCACAATAAACTCAGAAACTTTACCAAGAGCTAAGTACTATAGCTTTGTTTTTCGAGTGCTTTATATTAAACACGGGCCTCAGCCTTTGAAATGAGCATTATGAGCAAGGGAATGAGGACCCAAGGCACAAAGCCACCTGAAGGCTGAGTGATCCCTCCCAGTTACAGGCTGCCGGGCGTGTACAGCACAATTTCCCTTCATGTGATTTCACAGATGGTGGGGAAACTCTCAGAGCAGCTGTGACCTGGCTGCGTCACCCACTGACTAGGTCTAGTCCTAACCGGGGATCTTCTGACGTCTGACCCAGGCTTTCACCGCGTCACTAATAAGCTGTGCAAAGGAATCATATCAGAAATCCACGTTTCTGAGGGTGTTGGGTAGGTGCAGCCTTGCAGTCACAAAGTCAAAAGCACTGAAACGCCTTACTTGGGGCAGTTTGGCGGTGTACAGAGCCCATGTGTTACCCCATTTCTGCCCTCCCCCTCCACCGCCAGTGAAGCACATCCCATTGCACCTGCCCTGTCTCAGACCGAGAAGCCCGTGCAGGTGCCCGGGGTGTGGCTCACCACTTTCTCTCGCTCCCGCCTCAAAAGGGTGGGGCACCCTCGCCGCCTACCTCGTACCCAGGCCGCCAGGGCAGTCAGCGGCCAACTGGATGGCTGGAGACAGAGAGCCCTGGGTCAGGGCTCCAGAAGGCTCCTCCCTGAAACGTGAGGACCTTGCAGCCCTCACACACCCCGCCCTTCCCTCTTGGCGCCTCTGGGGGTCTGAGGTGGGCGTGGCTAGGACGGCTTTAGGACCCAGCGGGTGGCGGGGACTCGCGGGTGGCTGGACACGCCTATAAGCGGTTGCGGACCGCGGTGGAAAAGTCTGAGCCTCCAACCCCAGCTGAGGAGGACCGAAAGGGCGATGGGCTGCCACGGCCGGCTGCTGCTGTGGCTTGGAGCCGCCGGTGAGTCTAGCGGTCAGGGAACCATCCGGCCAGAGGTACTTTCCTAGGCTTAGGGACGGCGGTCGCGTCACACCTGGTCCCAGTGGCTCCTCCCGGTGCCTCGAATCCTCGCTGCCAAAGCTCCCCGTCGGTGCTCCTGGAGTCCAGGCGGAGGAGCTCGGTGCGCGCCTGAATCCGGGGATCCCGACCACGAAGCTTGGAGGGAAGGAAGGACAAGCCCTGGGGTCTCAGCACTGCCTGGGGGCGGGACCACCAACCTGTGTCGAGGAAAGGATGGGTGGCCTGCAGGACCGAGCTCAATGTAGCCCCCAAGTCGTTCCCTGGGAGCGCTCTCTAGGGGGAGAAGCCACAGAGGTATCAGCAGGCACTCCGCGGGAATTCGGCGACCAGAACTGGGATGCGGCCGACTTCGGGCGCGGGTGTACCCTGGCTGGGTGGGGGATAAGAGCGCGGCCAAGAGCCGCAAGGGCCGGCGAGTGTGTGTGTATCCCTTTATCTCTCTTTATCCCGTGCCCCATTTACATCCTACCCCCTTTCCTTCCCCGCTGTCTCCCTGTCAACCTCCAGGCGCTATTCTCCGCTCCAGCTTGGGATCCCAGGTTCGTTTTGTGCCATCCTCAACCCTGGAGCTGCCAGCTCCAAGTACCCGGAACCCGGACGTCCCCGCCCCGCCTAGCGGCTCGGAGCCAGCCTCTCCGCTCGGTCCCCCAGGTTAGCTCGGGGCTCCTCCCATCTACGCTCAACAGACCCAGACCCCCAGGCCGGGACCGGTTGGTTAGCGGCCCGGCCCGCAGACCGAGCTTCACTACCCCTTCCTTCCTCCCGGCTTCCAGACACCGAGGGGCCCTGGCGGTTCTCCACCTGCGGGGCCAGCGGCCGGCGCGGGCCCACACAAAAACAGTGCGATGACGCGTACGCGGGAAGCAGCGTGGCGGTGACAGTAGGGGCCACCGGGCGGCTGAGAGGCGTGCAGTTGTGGCGAGTGCCGGCCCCCGGCCAGTACCTGTGAGTGCGGGGCGGGGGGTAGAGGCGGTGGTGACCGGTGAGTCTGCAGTTCTGCAGCCAGGAAAACGGCAGACAGCGTGCGCACCACACTGCGTTGCAGGGTGTTCCGCAGGGATGTCCAGCCCGGACGACCCTGCCTGGCTCTTTGCAGCGGAACCCGAGGAAGGGTGGTGGCAATTGTCGCCGCCCAGTTAGCCTGTACCTGGGAGCCTGTTCCCGCTGAGCGGAGTGCCCCTAAAAAGCGGCGGCGCCGAGTGGCTCGAACCTCCCCCCATCTCCACTGAGCCTCAAAATAAATGTAAAAAATAATAACTATTATTATTATTAGTCTCCTCACCCCATCAAAGTTGATCGCAGCCTCCAAGCTCCCTCAGACGAGAAATTTTGGAGGTGCCTCTGTTGCTCACGGCGGCCCCGGCTGGGCGGCCCGAGGAACGAGGGCGGTGGACTCAGCGCCGGCTTCCCGCAGGATCTCAGCCTACGGAGCTGCGGGCGGCACAGGCGCCAAGAACCACCTGTCGCGGGCGCATGGCGTCTTCGTCTCGGCAATCTTCTCCCTCGGTCGCCGGGAGCCGCTTTACGTCCTCGTGGGGCATCAGGGAGAGGACGCCTGTCCCGGCGTAAGCGGAGCCAATGGGAAGGGGGAGGTTCAAGCGCCCCGGAGCGAGGACTCGGGTGAGGGTGCGAGGGGAGGGTCCGGGCCCCGCCGATTCCGGCGCCCGCTGCCCGCAGGGGAGCCTGGAGAGCCAGCTCGTCTGCCTCGGAGAGTCTCGCGCGGCTGAAGAGCACGCGGCAACCAATAGGACTGAAGGGGCCCGGGGGTCGCGGAGCTGGGTAGGGGGCGGCGGGGGTGGCGGGGGCGCCACCTACATCTTCCGGGTATGTGCTCCCCTCGACTCCGGCCAACCCCACCCCCAGCGTTCATCAGCGGGGTCCCAAACCTACCCAGAGTGCGCACGCGCTCCACGGATGGTCCTTGGGGTCCCTCTATCCCTGGGCCCGGCTGGGAGCCCCGCCCCTTACCCTGGCCCCAAAGTCGGGAGCCCTCGCCCAGTGCCCCGGCCATCACTAGGCCCCTGGAGGACGCGCCCCTGAGCACGCCGGTGACCCCACAGTTGCGTGCCGGCGAGCTGGAGCCGCTGATGGTGGCGGCCGGAGGTGGCGGTCGGTCCTACCTGAGGCGGCGGGACAGTGGCGAGTCTCAGGCCGCCCCCGAGAAACTGGAGACCCGCCTGGCGGCGCCCGGGAGCAGCGGGAGAGGCGGGGCGGCAGGTGAGGGCAGGGGCCGTGGGGAGAGGCGGGCGTGCGCTCCTTTCTGGCTGCTCGCCACCCTGTTGTCGCTCCGCAGGTGGAGGGGGCGGCTGGACGTCGCGGGATCCCTCACCGCAGACGGGCGGTTCACTGCAGGAGGGAGCCGAGGGCGGCCAGGGCTGCGCAGAGGCCTGGGCTGAGCTTGGCTGGGCCGCGGCCGGCGGCTTCGGCGGCGGCGGCGGGGCCTGCACTGCTGGCGGAGGCGGCGGCGGTTACCAGGGTAGGGCGCCCTTGGGGAGGGTGGTTGGGCAGCCCCGGGGATGAAGTGAGGTTAGAGCCTTGGAACAGGCCTGAGTCCCTCCGAAGGACAGAGCCGGAGGAGACAGAGAAATGTTAGTTGCCAGAGTAGATGCCGACTCATGACGACTCCGTGTGCGCGCAGTAGAACTGCTCCATGCGGTATTCAAGCCGACTTTTTGGAAGCAGATCACCAGGCCTGTCTTTTGAGGTGCCTCCGGGTGGGTCCACCAACCTTTCGGCTAGCAGTGCGTTCGGCACCCAGGGACTCCAAACAGAGCAATCACTCTTGGAAAAGGAGGTCAAGTCAGTTGCAAATCACACCCGCATGCAAGACTCCCTAGATTTTCATTTAAGTCCAAGACATCACAACAGTTTCCCTCCTTGTTGCACAGCTGTCCCGGGGACTTAGAACTGGCTGAGTTAGCAAGCTGAGGGGGCAGCCAGAAAGGCAGGGATAGTGTAAATCAGTAGTTCTCAAAGTGTGGTCCCTGAACCAGTGGCATCAGCACCACCTGATAAGTAGCTAGAAATGCACATTTTCGCTCCCTCCCGCCCCATCCTACTGAATCAGAAATTCTAGGGGAGTGGTCCTGGCAATGTACATCGAAGCAGTCCTCTAGGTGATTCTAAAGTACTCCAGAGCCTCCGCGTGTCTGTCTGGGTTGAACTGTTCATAGGTACTTCCCACACCATCTCAGTTCTCACAGCAATGGAGTGTGTGGGCTAGGCTTTTCCCACTTTATAGCTGAGGACACTGGGACCACCGGCGTTCAGACAGAGGTCTCCCAGCCAGCGGGAACCAGCCCTTCAGGTTCCAGCTGATCACTCCCGTCACCAACCACCTCTCTGGCCCCTCAGCTCCCACTGGTAGTAATACTAGCGTGAAGGAGGACCACACTGGGGTTTCCAGGGAGACTCCGGCTTATCTGCTGTTCATAAACCAGCTTCCTGGCTGTGAGGCAGCTGTGTGCGCCTACCCACCCACCCCCATTGTGTAACCAAACCCTCTATCCCTCTCGTTTCCCAGGTGGTGATGCCTCAGAGTCTGACATCCTCTGGGCCAATGGGGAAGATGGGGTCTCCTTCATTCACCCCCACGGTGAACTCTACCTGCAGCCTCTGGCAGGTGTGGGCCCCTACCCCGCACCTCTCAGCCTGGCCCGGCCCTTTTCCTCAGTCCCTGAGCCCACTCCACGTGAGCCACCAGCTCTGTACTGTGTAGCGTCTGGTTCTGGCCCAGCAGGAACACTGGGGAACTGGGCTGTCAGTTGTGATGTCGGTGTGGGGCATTTCCGGTGCTGGTCAAATAACCTCTTGCTCTGAAGTCCCCTCAAATACCTGCGTGCTCATGGTTCCCAGAAGACGGACCGTGCAGACTTGGCAGAAGTCCCTCAGGCCCACCCACCCACCTTAAACTCCTGGCTCTGCTCCTGCTGCTCCAAAGTCCTGGGCTAGAATTAACCATGTGGCTGGAACAGGTATCTGTGCCCCATATCGGCTTTTCCCCCACAGTCATAGAGAGCCATGGAGAGGTGGAGATCCGACTGCACTTCAACTGCAATCACTGCCCTTTGAAGGCCTGCCAGTGGCAGCCGGAGCCCCGGGTGGCTGTGTGCGTGTGCCCAGAGGGCATGGAGCTGGCTGTGGATAACATCACCTGTGCAGGTATGGCCTGCTTTCGCCCAAGGTCTGGACTCCTGGGGCCTGGGAGGGGCGGTAGGGCACTGGGAAAGATGGTATAGAGTCCTGCTGGGTGCCAGGCACCACACTGGGTGCTGGGCAGGAGACTGGAGACACATCAATGCCTGCTCTGCCTTCGAGGAGCAAGTAGTCCAGGGTGGCAGGGGAGATGGATACACACATACCCACAAACATACATACATTAAAAAACAAAACAAAAAATAAACCCTTGGCCATCAAGTCGATTACGACTCACAGCGACCCTGTAGGACAGAGCAGAACTGCTCCACAGGGTTTCCAGGAGCGGCTGGTGGATTCGAACTGCCGACCTTTTGGTTAGCGGCTGAACGCTCAACCAGTGTGCCACCAGGGCTCCCATATATACATGCATACATACATATATATATATATATATAGGGTTCAAAGTGACAGTTTCCCTGTGAGATGCAGTGTTTCAGAGGTTCTCAGAAGGATTGCTTTTGTCTAGGTTAACTGGGGAAAGCATTGTGGAAAAGTTAACACTCGAGCTGAGTCTGGAAGAATGGGTAAAACTTGGGGGTAGAGGGACAGAGAGGTGCTTCCCACTGCAGGTGTCTCTCTTTCTCCCTAGATCTGCCCACCCCCCCAGGCCCTCTGGTTTTGATGGTGGCTGTGGTGGCAACCTCAACGCTGAGCCTCCTTCTGGTGTGTGGGGTCCTGATTCTGGGTATGGAGTATACAGCAGGCTTGACTGATTCAAGGTTGCTCCCCCAGCCACTGAGCTGTGATGGGCTCCTGCGGAGTACCGGTGGAAGAGAAGACCCCCACTTTCAGCAGACTCCTCTGGGTTCCCAGAGACTACCGTGGCTGATTTAAGGATACTCCTACTTGGCTGAGCTGTGATGGGCTGCTCTGGAGTTCTAAAAATAGAAGCAGCTGGGAAGGCCTGGGGAATATCTGCCTTAATGGCATCTGGAGTGTCGCCCGGGTAGTGGGAGGCAGGGTGGGCCTGATGAGCAGATAGAGGTTATACATTTCTCCCCTACCTGCAGTGAACCAGAAGAAGTATCAGGGCCCGTGGAGAATGAGGCTGCCAGGCCCTGAGCTCGAGCTGAGCAAGCTTCGCACCTCAGCCGTCAGCACAGCCCCCAACCCCTACTACTGCCATGTGGGGTTCAGCTCCGCCCAGGCCTGGCCTTTGCCCCCGGGGCTCACTGAGGTTTCGCCAGCCAACGTCACTTTGCTCAGGTGAGTCTTCCACCTCCTTCTGAGACCTATTCACTCTGAATCCCCACCCCCACCCTGCTCACTGCAGGATGAATCACATATCTCAGAGAGGATCTGGCTCAAACCCCTTGTGTAGAGGAGATGCAGGCCCAGAGAAGCTCAAAGAAGGGAACTAACTTGTCCAAGGTCACACAACTGAGGCAAGGTCAAGGTCTCTTCTTTAAGACTTGAATAATTGTTTCAGTTACCCTAGCCAACCTCCTTCTCCCCTCAAAGGTTTGACTGCTCAGCTTTCAGCCCCAGTTCTGGGATGGTAGGGACCCTACCATGTAACTCCTTCAGAGCCTAAGGGTTGCCTCTGTCCTCAGGTGTCTGCAAGGACATAAAGGAAGGCCCCATCACAGATTTCTGCCCCAACCCTGACCCCACACCTGCCCTCTCCTTTTCCCTGGCTCTGTGCCAGTCGACACTGCCCTACAGAGCTTTTGTCTGGAGATGTGCCCTGATGCCCTCAGAGAGCCAGCTGGGTGTATAGGGAGCAGGGGAGGTAAAGGAGGTACTAGAATCTCTAGGACCCTCCCAGGCCCAACCACCCACTCCCTTCCAACCTGTCTTCCTGCAGAGCCCTAGGCCACGGGGCCTTTGGGGAGGTGTACGAGGGACTGGTAATTGGCCTTCCTGGGGACCCCAGCCCCCTGCAGGTGGCTATCAAGGTGAGAGGGGGGTAGGACTTCCGGCTGGGGGTAGAGGAGCAGAGCACCATGGAGGCAGAAAGCAGATTGTTGGAGCTAGGGTTAGCCTGCCTTCCTCAAACGTCCAAGGAGCTCAGGAACTCTGTGCCCTTTGCCTCCCCAGACCCTGCCAGAACTCTGCTCTCGTCAGGACGAGCTGGATTTCCTCATGGAGGCGCTCATCATCAGGTGCACCTGGAGCCATGGGGCAGGGGCAAAGGGTGGGAGGGAGGCACCCAGCACTGCCTGCAGGAACAGCTTCTCTTCATCCTGGGGCTGAGAGGCAGCACATGGAGGGACACGAAGGTCCTCTCCAGTCGTGTGGAGCCTAGAACATGGTTTCTCTCCCTGCTGGTGACGGGTATGTGCACCACCGACTCAGCAAGTTCAGCCATCAGAACATTGTGCGGTGTGTGGGGCTCAGCCTCCGCGCTGCCCCTCGCCTCATTCTGCTGGAGCTGATGTCTGGTGGGGACATGAAGAGTTTCCTGAGGCACAGTCGGCCGCACCTGGTGAGACCCTTCTCCCAGCCCCCCCAGGCCCTTCTAGGATCCTGGCCACGTGTCCCGGGTCCTGCATGGACTGATGCGCCCTCTGCCTGGCCCAGGACCAGCCATCACCTCTGGCCATGCAGGACCTGCTGCAGCTGGCCCAGGACATTGCCCACGGCTGCCACTACCTGGAAGAAAATCACTTCATCCATAGGTTGGGAGCTTGGGGTACCCACCTACATCTCGGGGGCACCCACCCTAGCCCAACTCCCTCCCCAAGGAACGGCCCTTTCTCTCAACTTTTCAGGGAATAGATCAGAAAGGGCCAGAGCTTGAGTTCTGGGAGTGACTTTTTGCCTGACTCCGTAGGGACATTGCTGCCCGGAACTGCCTGCTGAGCTGCAGTGGGCCCAACCGAGTGGCCAAGATCGGGGACTTCGGGATGGCAAGGGATATTTACAGGTGCGGGGCCTGGGGAGGCGGGGAGTCTGCTGCTGGTGGGGGGGGGGTTACTAGCACCTTGGTGTTGTTAGAACAACTCATCAGTTCCTCCTTCCTCTCATAGAGCCAGTTATTACCGTAAGGGGGGCCGGGCCTTGCTGCCGGTTAAGTGGATGCCCCCAGAGGCCTTCCTGGAGGGCGTCTTCACATCCAAGACAGACTCCTGGTGACCGCACTTCCTCCCTCCCCTGCCTTGGGACTAATCCTATCGTATCTGGGCCATTTCACGCGAGGGCAGGGGAGGCTATGCCTGATGGACCTCATTTGGATCCCCCACCCATGATGCAGGTCCTTTGGGGTGCTGCTCTGGGAGATCTTCTCACTGGGCTACATGCCCTACCCTGGCCGCACCAACCAGGAGGTGCTGGACTTCGTCGTTGGCGGGGGCCGGATGGACCCTCCCAGAGGCTGTCCAGGACCTGTGTAAGTGTGGGGCGCAGCCCAGGGGGAGAGGGCCTTCGTGACCCTGGATGGGCACAGATTCCTGCCTCTCCCCAGGTACCGTATCATGACCCAGTGTTGGCAGCACCAGCCTGAACTCCGCCCTGGCTTTGCCAGCATCTTGGACCATCTTCAGTACTGCGTCCAGGTGTGCCCGCCTGACCCACTCCGACCATGCTGGTTTGGGGATCAGGAGGAAAGCCATACAAACAATTCTCCAGCCCTTTCTCCCTACCCTCCTACTACAGGACCCTGATGTGCTGAATTCACCCCTGCCAGTGGAGCTGGGGCCCACTCTGGAGGAGGAAGGGCCTTCTGGGCTAGAGAGCAGGTCTTTGGAGGGGCTAAGATCCCTACAGCCCCAGGAACTGAGTCTGGAGAACTTGAAGAGCTGGGGAGAGAGCCCCTGTAGCCCCTGGCTACCCCCTGGCCTAAAGCCCCCCAAATCAAGAAGCATCCAACCTCAGAACCTTTGGAATCCTACCTACGGCTCCCGGGTCCCCAGGGGCTCTGAGGGTGAAGACTCGGGCATTGACATGGCAGCAGGTAGCAACGGCTGCTCTCTGCACTCCTCCCCAGGCCTCTAGGTGGCTTATTATTCCAGCAGCCTCTGCCCCCCACTGTCTGTGGCACATGCCCTGGCCTGTCCCAGGGCTGACCTAGCAGCCTTGGACAATCCCTCCGGGAAACCAGCCCCAGACCCCCTGGGGAGGTCTGAACACTCCCAGTCTTTGATCTTTGGGGCCACAGCCCCTCCCCTAAAGGTGTCGGTGAGGAATTGCCACTGCCTCTTGCAGGAAGCCTTCTCTGGATTGCCCACCCGTCATGAGCGTCCTTCATGTGGGCTGCCCCTGCCCCTGCAGATGCCTCTAATAAAAAGCTTTTCTCCTCACATCTTCCAGTGATCTGAGCAGACGTGAGGAATGCTGGGAACTGAGGAAGAGAGGCCAGCAGAGGGAGGGGATGAGGCCTGCATCACAAAAGCTGGGGTCTTTGAGTTTTATTGGGAAGGAGAGTCCATTGTAGTGTGGGAGGCTAGACCTGTTAGCCTAGCAGTACCTGCGAAGTAAAATTGACCATCTGGTCCCCCTGGAGAGCTGGCCAGCCCTTCAGAAGAGCCGGACGGAGGAAGCCGCTCATCGGCCCCCTTCCCTGCAAATTACTGTCATTTGGCTCTGGGAACGCTGGGGTTCATGAGAGCGCCCGTCCCACCCCACCCCCCGCATCTGCAGAGCGCCCCCTGTGGTTGTCAGCGGGCCCTGCAGGACCTTGTGAAAGGCCCGCCCGGCGGGGTCGGGGGGGGGTTCCCGTCTCTCCCCCGGGTCTCTCCCCTGGCATGCACTGCCTGGATGAAGCTGCAGTCTGTCGGTCAGATCTGCCGACCCGCGCAGAGACAGAGGCCCAGCCTCATCTCCCAGCCAGGCTGGCCAGGATGCCGATGAGATTGTCCAACCCCAGCAAATAGCCGTCCTCGCGGTTGCCCTCCTCCCAGGGCAGCCTGTGGTCCAGCGTCTGGCCGTCGGGGAGGGGCGTGGTCTTGCCGAAGTCAATGAGCCACACGCCGGCTCGATGGCTATGGTCGTGCACGAAGAGGAGCGAGCTGCCGATCACCTGCCGGGCTCTACAGTGTCAGGCTGCGGGCCCTTCCCGGAGAAGCCCCCACCCTATTCCCGCTCTAGCCTCGCAGACCCCCCCGGCCCGGCCCCTGATCCTACTGGCCTCTTACCTCGTGCCTCCTGAAGAACTCGGAGACCTCCAGGGTGTCCCGGATCTGCTGCAGGCGATTCAGATACCTCCTCTGGAGGGGAGAGGGTAGGAGAGCAGGGCATATTAATTAAACGCTAATTGAACCCTTGCAAACAAGCGTGTGCTCGGCTTGCTAAATACCGTGGTGAGGAAGCCACAGGCCCCTACGTGGCGCACAGTTCGGAAGGGACAGACGTAACACAGTGACAACACAGTGCGATAAATGCTACGTTGGGGGCATAAAGGGCACTAGGCCGGATGGCCTGGGAGCACCCCTCAGTTCCGGGCTCCCTAACACCCCAGGGTTCTGGGATCCAGTGCTCACCAGTACTTCCGCATCCCCCTGCACAAACTCTTCGAAGACGCGGATCACCTGTTCCCGGCTTCGCGTAGTCTTGAAGTCGGTGCTGCAGGAGCCGTCGGCTTTCTAAAGGAGGTGGGACGGAAGTGTCAGGGGCTCAGCCTCGCTCCTGGGGACAGAATCAGGCTAGGGCGGTGCGGTGCCATCCAGGACGCTGGTGCCAGGGACAGCGAGACAACCAAAGAGTTGGCAGGAGGGAGGGGAGAGGAGCAGGGACGCCGCGCGAAGGGGCTGGGCGGTCCCCAGCGAAGCGGGCCTGGCTCACCTTGATGCCCTCGATGCGGAAGCCGAGCGTGGTGCTGGAGCTGATGCCTTCCCGCCACTGCATGTAGCGCGGCTTAGTGACTGCGCGCTGCGCGTGCTCCTCCTCCGTGGGCGCCGAAGGGTCTACCGCCAGCATCTTCTTGTACATGTCCTTCCGCAGCTTGGGTCGCTCTCGGGCCTTGGTCAGCTCGTCCTCCAGGTAAGTCCTGAGGGGGCGCAGGAGGCAGCTGGGCATAAGGGGCGCACACGGACACCCCTCGACCGCCTGCCGAGGCCCCCACGCGGCCAGACAGGGCACGCGTACCTGACGCCCATCTTGCAGTCGAGCACGCAGGGCCCGTCGAAGCCGTCGAGCAGGTCCTGCAACTGCAGGTAGCTCTCGCCGTCGCGCTCCACCACGCCGTGGAAGGCCGGCACGCACCCGCGCAGCGCGTCGGCCATCAGCCGCGCCAGGCAGGAGCGCTCCGGCTCCGAGCTGCGCTTCAGGATCAGCCCATTGGTGCCCGCCGCCTTGAAACTCCCTGCGAACCGACACGCGTGAGCGCTGCCCAGCCCCCTCCTGCCCCGGGCACCCTCCTCATCCACCTGGCCCTGTGCTCACCCGTGTGCCCCGCCAGCTGCACCCAAGAGTAGCGCTTCTTGAAAGGGCTCATGACGGGCAGATTCACCATGGTCCGGATCTTCTGCCAGTGGCTTTTCTGAAAGCGACACGGGCCGGATCTGAAAGTCGGCGTCTCAGCTCTCTGTGCTGGAAAAGGGTCTCGCCCCGCCCCCGGCCCACCGGAAGCAGCTAGGGCGGGATGATGCATTCATTCATTCATTGGAGGAAAGTTTAGGTGTGCCTGTGTGGCGGACACTGATACAGGCACAGAGAGGCGATAGACATCCAACTCTGGAATGTGCTTAAAAGAGCCTTGGCCATAGAATCAGAAGGCTGAGGTTCGCACCCCAGTTCTGTGACTCAAAAGTTATGTGGCAGTTTACCAAACTGCTCAGCCGAGGTTGTCGATTTTTTGTGAGCATCAGAACCACCCTTGCTAAAAAAACGCAGATCCTCAAGTCTACCATAAGGACATTCTGACTGAGGAGGCCTGAGGTGGGGCCAATCATCTGCATTTCCACTAATGCCTTAGGAGATTCTGGGGCCCCAGGGCCCCAGGTCACACTGAAAAACAAGCCTCTGAGCATCAGTTTCTTATCTGTAAAGTGGGGAAATAATCACCCTCACAGGGTTGTTGTGACAAGTAAACAGGCTTGAATGTAACAGCGCCCCCCACCCCCCAACTCCTTGACATGAAGCAGAAGCGGGATGAATCTGTTCCTCTCATTTAGGGAGACGGACAAACAGAGACAAACCTTTACAAAAGCCCAGGGCAGGATGACCAGCCCAGCAGGGCCTGGAGAAAGAATGGTTCGGGCTCCCCCAGACCTTCTTGCTATCCGTGGGTGCGATGCCCTCCCTTCAAGTTGGCTAGGCCCAGGGCACCTTTAGTTCTAATCAAGACCCAGAAACCTGAGCCCTGCAAATGGGCTGCAAAGCTGAGGGCCTGTCATCTTGAACAAAGCTGGAAGGGAAATGTAGATTTTGGTGTATCCCTTGCATCATGATTATTGCTTCTAGACTCCACCCATTCCTGAGAGCATCTCAGACTCTGGACCTTCAGTCTTGTGTCCATATCCATGAAGTGCACGGGTTTGCTGTGTCTGCTGCCTTCTTCCCAGAATGCCTGCTTTGGAGTTACATGTATGCCTCCACAGGACTCCAGCCTCCCTGACAAGAGGGAGTTCTAGGAGGGAGAGGGAGAACTGGGGAGGTGGCCTAGGTAGGGGAAGTCTGATGACCATAAAGCCCCTTCCCATGGGGAGGAGACAGGGTTAGCAACCGAACCCTGAGTGGGGAGTCTGGAGCTGGTCTCAGTCCTGGCTCTGTCACTTTCGAGCTGAGTGAACCCAGGCAAGTACTGTCATGTGTGTGGGACTGTCTCCTCTGGGAGGACATGCTGCTGCCATAATGAGACCCACCATTTACTGACCGCCTACTGCATGCCAGGCACCTTCTCAGACTCCATCAGCAGCACTGTGCCCCCTTTCCTACTGAAGTCCTTATATGGAGCACCAGGGTGTGATCACATGTCCAATCCCTGGGGATCTGGGGGTGTAGCCAGAAGCAGCCCACCAGAAGCATGACATCTTTTCCAAAATTCCTTTTTAAAATCTTTAAATACATACAAGGTTTGCATTCTGCTGCATAATAAATCCAGGCTTTATTATAAAACTCCCTCACCTCCAAATCCTCAAGTAAAATTCCAGGAATATACACATGCCCTGTGCATTCAGTGGCACCATCCTCTGCCCCTTCTCCCACACTCCCTTTGAGAATCACAGAAATGATGGGCACGTGCACACCAAGGCATGAGGTGGTATTATTATTTCCATTTTACAGAAAGAAACCAAGGCTCAGAGGAGTTAAGCAGCCCAGGCCCACCGGGCTCCAAAGTCCATGCTCCTATACTGCCTCCCTTTAGGGGTCAAATGGGACACTGCATGAGGAAGAACTTTGTATAAGGTGAAGTGATTTGCAGCCATAAGGTGGTGTGAGCATTTTGATTTCTGAGGCAACAAAGATGTCTGCCTGGGGACCTCTCTCTATTAGCTGGACGCCTTTGCCTTCATCCAGAAGAATGGGTTTAATGGTGGGGGCTTCAGCAGCTTTAGGGGCCTACTGGCAGAAATTAGGGTAGAGTGGAACCAGAATGGACTCGGTCAGAGTACATCTAGTTCTGTAGCCACCCCGTCGGAAGACGTAACCAGCCCTCGTGGGATGAGGGAACTACATCAACCTTATTTCTGGGATCATGTGGGAGAAGTGAGTGGGGCTGGAAGGTGGAAGGTGGGCCTGGTGGAAGAGGATTTGATATGATGTCTGAAGAGCTGGGCTACTCCTACTTGCTTGATGTGTGATAACACAGCATCAGCTTGCTCCCAAGCTGAGATACATGGGGCCATCACCTTCTCTCCCCACTCTGGTTTCATGAGGATCATATGAGCCAAGAGCAGCAGCAATCGAGGCTGGTTCTAGCTGTGCAGGTTACAAAGGGCTTTCCCACCCATGATCTCATCTGAGCCCTCCCAGGTCCTCCCGAGGTTGGTGTGATAGGAGTTAGCTTTCCTAGCAGTAATGGATATGGTCAAACCTGGAAGGAGTTAAGACAAGTGTCGTGGAATCCACTCCCATCTTCCTGCTTAGCTTAGGGAGCTACCTTCCCCAGGGAACATAATGCATATTAAAATGCATGTATCCAAAAAGGCTCCTGGAGAATCATTCTTTGGTGGGTGGGGATTTTGGCACATGAACAACAGCAGGGAAGATATTTTTGAACAGGTGAGGTTTTTATTGTTTTACTATCAGAAATCAGATTTATTATGTTACAGTGTGACATCTAGCTGCCCCAGAAGCCAACGCCTCAGCCTCTGGCCCAACCTACCCCTTCACTGAAGTGTTCTCCCTGGGTAACTAACTGGAAGCCAGAAGCCACCTGGGGATCTTGAAGCAAAAGCCAGGAGAGCTGACTGTGTGGAAGAGTCTTTGATGAAGTCACAGAAGGACCCTCTGATAATTCGTCACCCCTTGGGCTCCATTTTGAAGCTCTGAGGGCTCCTGCTTCTTAAATCACACCAGGTACTCAGAGTATTTCCTGCCAGAATGGACCCTTTGCTTGGTCTTTGGTACTCATCCCCGTACTTCCTGAGCCCCACCCCCTGCCTCCAGCCACCCAGTCTCTGGCTCCCTACCAGATAGCTCCCTACCAGGCCAAACCTCTCCCTGCGTTCCAATTGCTCCATCAAAGCTAGCACACTCCCTGTGGAGGTGTGTGTGTGGGGGAGAGCAATTAATTTAAATTTATTCGCACTAAGGTATAAGTGACCCACGACTTCACCTTCCCAAGGGCATCTGCTTGTTAAAAAGGAAGTCTGTTAACCTAAATTCTGCTCTATAATTAGTGCAAAGTGATGCGTGGGAATTCTGAGTCCAGGATGGGATGGCATCCAGGTCTCCTTACCTATCCTGGAGCACTGAGGGAAGACAGCAGGTGAACAGGAGCCAAACGCCCCCTCTTCTGCTAGAGAAACACCTCAGACTCATGCCCGCTCTTCTTGGGGATGGGCCCCCAGTGCCTCTCTTGGCCTGTTTGGGTCTCCCTGCCCAGGACTTTTCCCTTATCAGAGGAAAGGCCTGGAAGGGAGAGTGTACAGTCCCAGCACCCCTTGGGGGTGCCCAGCTCCAGGTTCTGGGCAGGCTGTGGTGGCTCCTTAGGAGGAGAAGGGTAAGGACGAGTGCGCCTTGCAGAGGCAGGCAGGACGTAAGCGCCTCCCTCTGCTCCGGGCTATCCTTGTTACCCGCCCAGGGCCTAGTGCAAGGAGCCCCGAGCGGGAAGCCGCCTCTCCACCCCCGAGGCTGCCGCAACACCTGCAGTCTCCCCCAGGTGCATCCTTCCCGGTCAGCAGGGCTGGCTCTGCTTCCTGCCTGGGGAAGCCCTATGGGCGGCCTGGGCGGGAGCGCTCCGTTGGTCTGCAAGGCAAAGTCCGCGCGGGGCCCTTTTCGGCCACAGGCGGCCTCTGTCAACAGCTCTTGGCTTATCTGCTGTCGCCGTGACTGTTTGCCTTCGGGGAGGCCCCGGCGGGCTGGGGGTTGGGAAGGCCCTGGAAACGTAGCCTTGGAGCTCCAAAGGGCCCTCCGCGGCCATCTGCTCCAGCTCCTGGCCGCTCCGGGAGGAGGCGAGGTCCAGGGCCGGAGGGGCGGGCTGAAGACCCCCGGGGCACGGCTGCGACTGGTCCCGGGAGTCTTGTGCGGAGCTGACCCTGGCCGGGGCTGCCCACACTGCACGCTGGCGTGGGCGGCGGGACCTCTCGGCGCAGCCCTGCCGAGGCCCTCCCTCAGGCATTGGGTTTCCAGAGTCTCTGAGGGCGGGCAGAAGAGGCAAGCGGGGGCTGCCCGCGCGCCCGGCGCCCGCACTCGTGGTGCCGGTTCTCCTGCTCCCGCCCTCTAAACTGTCAGAGATTTGAGCAACAGCCCAGCGGCCGCCCCAGAGCTACCGCTCAGGATTTTCTGACGAGGTGGAGTGGGAGTGGTCCTCTCACTGACTCACATTCCTCCGCCTGGGAAATCCCTCGGCGGCACTCGCCCCCCTAGCTGGGCCAGGGTTGCGCTAGGAACGATCTCAAGTCAGAGGGTGCCCCCGCCTGCAGAGGAAGGAGAGGGACGCGGGAGGCTCGTGACTGAGCCCCCGCGCCCTCTATCTGGCAGGGGCGGGGGGGTCCCGCTCTGTGAGACTTTTTTTTTCTTCCTCTTGTGTCATTTATAAACCCCGCCGTCCTCTGGGTAATGTAAGTGTCGAGGGTAACTGATCACCGAACCTCTACAGGCCGTTAGAGTGTCTCCCCACCTCTTCCAATCCGAGTGTGCTGCGGAGCCGGAGTGGCGCTGGCCCAGGCCGCGCCCTAGCGCCCTCCCCGCAGCGTCCAGGCCACCCCGGCGCGCGTTCGGGGCTCTCACGGCCCAGTCGCCCCGACCCGGCATTCCGGGCAGGCCAGGAGCCACTAGAGCCGCCGTGACGCTCCTCTCCTCTCCCTCCGCTCCAGGGACCTTTGCATAACGGGGGTTTGGAGGAACTGCTTGGCGTTAACCACGGCAGTTAAAAGTATTTGGCTTTGATTATAACGAGGGGAACAAGGCCATCTGTCCCGGGCGTCGCACACCTCGAAGGGGCGGGCGCTGGGAATGACTTCACTGCATGCCATCCCTGGGTTATCTGAGGGTCAGACCCAGCCGCGGAACATCCTGGCTGATCCCAACTCTTTCGGCCTCAGTTTACCTTCTCCCGGGCCATGTTTACGAGCAGTGCGCCCGGGAGCCTGGGATGCGTTCCACTCCGGCCAGGCTCCCAGCCCCGCTCCCCTCCGCTCCCCGCGTCCACGCCTCGTGCGGGCGCCCGGAGCAGACGGCGGCGGCTCGGGAGCAGAGCCTGGAACGCCGCTCCACGCCCACTCAGGAGAGGGAAACCGTGGCAACGGCGGAGGTGGGGCCGCGGCGCTGCAGGGGGGGCGGGAGAGATGGAGACGCTCGTTCGCCCCTCACTCCAAGGGTTCGCAGGGCAAGGCCAAGCCGCTCCGATCCTTTCAGCCCCACCTCGCAGCCAGCCAGGCGCGCTACCCCCAGCCCCGTCTGGTACCCGCCGGTCGCGCATTCCTCCGCGTCCTTAGACGCCCCAGGACCGGGGCCACGACTCGCCTGCGGAGTTGGGATGAAAACCTAGCGCCTCCTTCCCCACCCCTACTCGCCTTCTAGACAGTGAGAATCGGACAGTCCGCGGAGGGCGTTTGGGCAGGAGTTGGTCTTCGCGAAGAGGGGTCCCCCACGCCCCCGCTGGCCCCGCCTCCGCGGCCCGTACCTGACCCGCGTCCTCGCTGGCTTCCAGCTGCACGTTGCCGCGGCTCCGGCTCTCGCTGTCGCTCAACAGATCGTCCTCCGAGTCCTCGGGCAGCGACGAGGAGCCGGTGGAGGAGAGCGACGAGGTGGAGAGGCGGCGCGGCTGCTGCAGGTGCGACGAACCCCCGGTCGGGAGCCAGCCGCGCTCGGGTTCGGGCGGCCCGGGGCTGGCCGGCGCCACGTCCGGCTCCTCAGCCGTCACAGTCAGTTGCGGGATCACTGGGGCCGGGGAAACCCGTGGAAGCCCATTGGGGACCTGCCCCCCACGCCTCTTGGCCCCGCGGGCCCGGTGCTCCCCTGCGGCGGCTGCGGCAGCGGCCGCGGCACAGCGCGCCTCGAAGAGCAGGCGCAGCTCCCCGACACTCCGGCGCGGGTACTGCTCCAGCCCAGGGCTGCAAGGCCCCGCGCCCCCCGGCCGCGCCATGCCCGTCGGGCCTCCGGGCAGGGTCATTTCCCGGCTCAGGCGCCGCAGCCGAGCCCACCAGCCCGCGGCGCGGCGGGGACTGGAGAATCTCAACGCCCCCGGCTGGAGACTGCCCCGGGGCGGAGCCTGCGTGGCTTGCCCGCCTGGGCCCCGCCTTGGCCGCACCCCGGCCGCGCCCCCCGCCCACTCCCTTCACTTTCAGAGAAAGCGCGGGCCTCCTAGGGCCCTTGCCTTGCCTGGAAGGCCCCCCGCTGCTTCTCAGGTTGGCCAGGGAGCCCATCCCTCACAGTGACAAAGCCAGGGCCTGGCCCTCGCCGCCTCCCTCGGCCCGCCCTCTAAGAGGCGGAAGAGGCCGCTTCGCTCCCGGGCCTTACTGCCTACCCGGGCTTCAGGTCTGGGAAGAATTCCTTCCGGCGGCTCCAAGGGCTCTGACCCCGCAGGGGAGGAGCTGGTCCTGTTCTTGCTTGCCCACCGGATCCCTTGGGCTCCTTTCCGCGTTGCATCCATCCTGGGCCAAGGCTTCCAAGTCTCCGGGACTTTTCTGCAGCCGAGGCCCCCTCCAGCACTGCGTTCAAGGCCATCGGCCTTCTCAAGGAACCCCATCCCAGTGCGTGCACCCAGATGGGGACTCAGGCCCAGGGACGAGCTGAGGCTGCTCCCCTAAAACTCCCGACTTTCGAGTTTCTGGCGGGCAGAGAACAAGGTCAGGGGGCGGGGCCTGGATCTCTCTACGTGTCTCAGCCAAGTCCTGGGCAGCAGCCCCGCTGGTGGCCGGTTCTGAGCCCTTCTTCCTCCTTTCCATTCGGAGTTCAGGGCTTGGAGTCTGCCATGTGGCTTTAACCAAGTCGTGTCACATCTCTGAACGGCTGATTTTCCGCCACATGTTGCTGTGAGAATGAAATGAAATGAAAGATGTGTAATCTTTTAAAACGTTGGAAGGTTTTTTAGTGTGGGTGATAGAAAGTGCCAGCCTCAGGTCCACCACAATCTAGATGTGGTTTTAGGCAGTTGCTTCACCCTTCGGAGTTCTTTCCTCGCTTGCAAATTTGGGAAGACTTTACTTTCCCACCCTACTCACAGAGTTGTGGCGTTGATGTTGGGATGCGAGGGCTGGTATTGCTGACAGTGTTTCCCACAGTGCAAAGCGTCCATCAGCTCATCACTGTGGTGGTCTTTGGCCACGTCACATGCTGGCCGCCGTATTTCACAGCATTTCCTGTCTTCCCCAAAATGTCAGAAGGAGCATCCCCCAGCAGGCACCTGGTGCCTAGGGACTGTTGGGGGCCCTGTGAGGACTGCACCCCCGGAAGAGCGGCCTCAGATGCTGACCAAGGCCAGGAGGAATCTTCCTTCCTCATCTCCCTTCAGCCAGGATTCAGGAAAGGTTCAGAGGGAGAGCCAGAATCTTTAGCAAAGAAGAAAGGAGAAGATCCTGGGGAATTGACAAAGAAAGTAAAAGAGTGGAAGAAACAGTGGGAGTTGGGGGCAGAGGGGAAGGAGAAATGGAGGAAATAACAGAGTGGATTAGAGAAATAAGAAATACAGGAATTGGAACATTTGACTCTGTGGGGAACCTGGGCAATTACATGACCACCATCTCTGGGGCACAGAGTCCTCTCTGAAGGAGCCGGCATGTTTGTGTGAGGGGTGTGCTCTGCAGCTCAGCGTCTTCTCTACTCCCTCCCTCCCTCCTTTGGAGCCACCTGGGCCTATGTTGGGGCTGGAAAAGGTGCTGCTCTCAGAGGGTGGGCTGGGGGCAAACCTGGGGTGGGAGGAGCGAGCAGGGACCTGCCAGAACTGGAAAGGTAGGAAGGGAAGTGAGGGGAGGAAACGTGTACTGTGCCCCTGCGTACCAGGTGACATGTGGGCAGTGTTGGAGGCGCGAGCAGGCTGGCACTCGGGCTACGTTCTGGCTGCCAAGGGAAAACCCAGGGGCGAGTCCTTTCTTCTTACATCAGGTGTTTGCCCAAGTCTTAGGTTCACCAAACCAGCAACCAAAGAAGAGCTCTTTGCCACACCTGCCCAGGTTCCCCTCATGGGAAATGTAAGGGCACATCTGGAAATGTGTGTCAAAATGAGAGCTAATCCCATAGGCTTTCCAAGCGGGGAAGGGGCCTTAGATGCATCTGGTTCTCCTAAGTCACACTATAGAAGTAACAAGTGACTCAAGCAGGGAGGTTAGAGCACTTTCACACAGTCACAGAGCTAGTTGGTGGAAAAGCCAGGGTGCATTCCCTGATCGTCCCCAGCATTCCTGTGCTATGCTCCATTTCTTTCACCAACATCTTGTAATTCAGTACCTAGTTCCTCACCCAATAAAGACAGGCAGAAAAGATAAAGGCACAATTTGGGGCACAGGCCTGGAGTCCCCAGTGCTGCTGTGGGACAAGGGCAAGGGGCTCTCATTTCCTCTTAGTCAAACCTTTGAAACCATGCAACATCTGTTCTTTTGTGCCTCAGTTTCCCCAGTCCTTAAGGCTGTGAATAGAAGGAAAGCGGAGAAAATCAGACTGGCCAGCGTGTTGGTGGAGGGAAGGGCCTCTTGCGTGCTGCAAAAAATGGGGAAACTGGGGCACAGAAGGATGTTTGAAGGTTTTGATGGTCATCAAATGGCTGCTCTGAGACTAGGTCACGAGCGTCCCTCTGCCTTGTCCACAAGGCCAGCTACATGTCTGAGGAGAAAAGCTGTCTTTCCTCTTCTTGTGGCAGCTCAGCTCAGTGATCCTCCTGCGTGTGCCCTAGAGGCTGTCTCCCTGGGGTGCCACGGCAGCTCCTAAGGGGCAGCAACCCTGGGGCTAACAGCTGGGAAAGGGCAGGGCCTGGAGAATGGGATGCGGGAAGTAAAGGGTTTCTGGGGGATCTGCTTCTATTCCCCATCCTGCCTTATTTAAGCTCTGTCCCTCCTCTGCCTCACCCCAGGGCAGCACCAATGGCCCAGGGACAGGAACAAGGGCACTGCTCACCATCCCGTGCCAGGCACAGTGCCAGCTTCTGCTGCTCAAGACCCACAGGCAGGGCCTCTCACCTGGCAGAAGAAGGTGGGGCACAGTCTTTGACCTTTGCTCCTTAATAGAGTACCTGTTGCTTTAAGAGGGCTTGAAGGCCTCTGAGGAGGGAGGGCAGCCTCTGTGGGGTGTGTGTGTGTCTGTGTGTGTCTGCGGTGGGACAGGGAGATGTCCTTCTAGGCCATGTGGTGCAGAGTCCCGTTCTAGTCAGCAACTCCAGGTATGCTCTGTAAGACTTGGTGTCCTCCAAGGGAATTTCCAACTTCAAGATTCCAATATTCTGTGGCAATGCCTGCAATCCATTTGTTCATTCATTCATTCACAAAGCAAACAAACTTCCCCTGAGCAGTTGCTATGAAGCAGGCATTGTGCTAGGTGCTAGGGCTACAGGAATGAGTGGCTCCTATGATGACGTCTCCTCCTTACTGGGAGTGGTGGCGGATCATTCTGCATTGTCTTCTGGAAGAATGAAATTCAGCCAGGCCAATGACCCAACCGGTAAACGAGCCCCAGGATGCTAAATGGCTGCATCTATTCTGTTTCCAAGGGGCCATCAGCAAGGCCCTGGGAACCCTGGTCTCTCAGCTGTTTCATGCATCCAAAACATTCCCCAATCCTGGTCAGAACGATGCCCTTCTCTGCCCAGGGCATACTAGACAGGGTGCTGGAGGGCTGGCCAGAGCCAGGGTCCAACGGAAATTTGAGGATGAGGGAGGAACTGGAGACCTCCTTTGTCCTGGGAAGAGAGAGTGGCTGTCCTCACCTGCCAGGTGGTCCCTCAGCCCCAACCACAGACCCTTTTCCTGGCCTCTGGGTTTCTCCCTCCCCCACTTTCGCCCCCCATAATGGACTTCATGTGAATATTCTGGGATGGGTGCTAGGATACTTCCGCAGGGCTCCGCATTTGGCAGCGTTCGGTGACCCTCCACCATCTGAGTCACTCTTATCTAAAACGAACAAAATGTGTCACCACGCCTGTGTATGCGCAATAAGAACATTTTCTCTCCTGATACTTCAGAAACAAGGTTTTCCATCCCTCCCAGGAACCTGTGTTCCTGTGGTTCTCCCTCCCCCACCCCTCTGCAGAAACTCAGAATCCGCAGAATCTCTCCCAGTGGCGAAGTGGAGGCGGAGCGGACGGGAAGGTCTGAGGTCAGGGACGCAGCCGCCCGTATCGAGGCAATTGTGAGAACTCCCGGGATGCAGTCGGCCTCCCTCCTCCAGCCTCCCAGAATCTCCAGCCATCTTGCAGCCGGGGAAGGGTGGTTGCAGTTCCAAATTCCATCTGTGATCTCTGTGTCTGCCAGCGCGACCTCCACCCTCGGGTGCGCGGCGACCGAGTCCACCCAGCATCGTGGCGGGGAGGAACAGCAGCCACGAGGACGCTGCCCGCAGGTCCGGGGGCCGGGGAGCTAGCGCCCGCTGCGCCTCTGCGCGGGTCGCGGGGTACCTCATACTACGAGCCAGGAGCGCGCCCGAGAGCTGAGGCCCCTGCTCCAAACTCCCGAAAGCCGCCGGGACGCGCGTCCCGCCGGGTCCACGCCTGGAGACACGAGCGCGCGCACGTTCAGGCAGCCGGCCCGGCTCGAAGGCGGGGCTGCGGTGCACGTGGCCGGGCGCTCTGACCCGGGGCTCCAAGGCCGCTGGGCCCGGAGTGGGCGCGCACAGGCCGAGGCCGTTTGCTGGTCCGGCCCATTGGGGCCGCGGCTGCCCAGCTCCCGGGTGGACGGGACGCCCCCCGTCTGCCGCAGTCTGTTTCTCGTGGCCATAGGTCGAACATACAGGACAGGAAGCCTGAGCTTCCGATGTTGGCGGCATCCACGCTGCGGGTCTCTTTCCCCGGTGCGCTGCGGGGCGCGGGGCCTGGGGGCAGGATGGGAGGGGAGAGGGGGGTGGAATGCCCCAGAACACAGCGGCCTCTACTGGATGTCCGCTTGCCTAACACCCCCGGGCCTCCACAACCCTTTCCCGCCACCACATTTATTGAGCGTTAACTAAAGTGCCAGGTGGCGCTGGGTGCTGGGTACACGGAAAGAAATGCCGCGGACACGTCAAGTTCCTTCAGACTGAGAGCGGAGACTCACAAGTAATAACAGTACAGTGTAATGAGTGCCGCCCTAGAGGAAGCCGACGGGAGGGGCTTCCAAACCAAACTGGGAAGGGCAATCGGGGAAGGCTTCCCGGAGGAGGTGACCTCGCACCTGCGCACTGAAAAGGTGAGGAGGAATTCGCCGGGTTAGTGGAGTTAGTCCAGCGCATGCCAGGCGAGGTGAATGAGTGTGTTTGGCCGAGGGATGTGCAGCCTCCGCATGGGTTTATGAGAATAAACGATACTTCGAAGACGGTGTATCATGGAAAGGACCGGGACGTTGTTAGACTTCTTTATAGTCACTTTTCGGGTTGGTACTGATTTTGAGTTTTAATTACGCTCAGTGGTGGTGGGGAGGTCGGGCCTCAATTGCTCTCTCCGAGCCTGATGGGGGTGGCGGCGAGATGGAGCCTCCGGAACCCCTGGAGGCTCAGAGCGGGACTACACCTTCAGATGGGCCATCACAAACGGAGTGTGTGCGCGCCGGCGGCGGAGCTCGAGGGAACGCCTGCCTTCACGCGACGGTACGAGGCCAGCCCCAGCACTCACAGGTCGGACCCTGGACCCCGAGGCCGAGTTTCTTGGCCCCGGTGGTGGGGGCTGCCAGGAGTCGTCCGGCCGTGGGGCCAGCGCTCCAGCTTCGGTTCGTGTCCTCTGCCCTACTCCCGAGCTGTTCTGAGGCTTCTGCCCTCTCCTTGGCCCTGCTACCGAGTCTGTGCAGATCCCTGCGGGCGTGGGGGCCACTCTCACTGATTTTTAACAGGACCCTCACAGGCTATTTTAAAGACGGAGAACTTGTGGCTCAGAGAAGTGGCTCAGCCCTAGGTGCTAAGTGTGGAGCAGGGACACTAATCCTGCACCAAGCCAGGTGTCTGTGATCCTGGCTCTACCTCGGGTCTGGAAGCCTTGATGCTCCTGTGGCTGACCCCCTTATCCTGGGCCCAGAAACTCTGCCTCCAGGTTCTGCCCGCGGGCTCTGGGGCTGACCTGGGAAACATCCGGAGAAAGTAGGCTGCATTTCCTCCAGCCCCTCAGACACACCCGTAATGGAGCCCAGCGGTCCCCTTTAATCAGGGGAACTGGGAAAAGTTAGAGGATCAATGGCTTCCCCGCTCCCAGGAGCCGCTGTACCACCGGTGGCCGAGTTACTCAAGGAACTGTTTCCCCTCCTGGCTGAGGAACCTGGGGGGGTGAAGCTGACCAGCCCAGCATCCTCCCTCCTCATTCCTCAATCAGCAGAGAGCAGCCAGCTCCCTGGAGCCAGGCAGCATCCTGGGAGAGGTAAGTGGGCTTGACTGTCCTCTGCTCAGAATGCCTGCTCTCTAGGGCCAGGGCCACCCGCTGTTCCCACCAGCCAGGTAGTGAGAATGATAGGGAGTTGCACAAAACCTCATTGGATGTGCCTGCGGGTGACCCACCTCTCTAACACAAGGGGCAGGCTTGGATGGGGCTCCTAACACTGACTTTTAGAAGTCACCTCCCACTTTCCCATCTCAATAGGGGGTGGAAAATGATCTCGCTTCCTAGCTAAAATATGGTCACAGTGAGGTATGAGACACGACCTCAGAGACTGGGGTGGGGGAGCCCTTACAGATCTCCCCAGCTTGCATATCAATACTTCCTCCATAGCTACACTTAGCCTCTGGGTTCCCCCTTCACACCGGCGACAGGCACGAAACAAGACAGCAAAGGAAATGTGCCTAAGCCAGCTCGAAGGACTAGATTCTGAGGTTAGGCAGTGTGCTAGGGGCTTACTTACCTCTGTCAAAGCTAGTTTATCAAGATAGGAAGTAAACCAAGCCAGCTGGAGGTTGCCCTGGCTTGAGACAACTACCTTACTAGAGAGGCTTTTGGGGAACCTGGCTACTAAAGGGTTGAAAACTGCCACTTTCACTTTTGGGGGTATAGTTCTGAGAGAGGGGGAAGGCGGGAAAGGAGCAAAAGAGAGGTTTTCATGGACTTCCAAAACATGGCTTTGAGAACTGCCACTCAGGATGCAATCCTTGGACTAAATCTGATCCCCTTGTTAAAACAGGGCATAAAGTTTATTTACATAAATCTGTACAGTTGGAGTGACAAGTCAGGACTTCACAGAAACAAAACAGAAGCATTCTTTTGGAAGAGAAGTTGCAGGCAGCCGACTTTCCCTGCACCTGTCAGAAGCAACACAGATGAGCAGACCGACACATCATGAACTAGGCACGTGGACACTGGCCTTTTCACTTCTTGGAAGGAACTGAAAAATGTATAAAACAGCTTTCGGGGCTGCAGCCTTCAACACTGAAACTCATGGGGAGGAGGGAGGGGCTGCTGCAGTAATTTCCCAGCACGAGAAACACTGGGAACAAGCCGGAAGCCCAGTGGGTGGGACAAAGCCATTGTCTATACCTGGTCAAGATCTTGGTTCAGAGGCCCTGCCTCAGCTGAGCCTGGAGACAAGTCCTCCGTCTTGATCCCGATCACCAGGCAGGCTACTCGGTAAGTGAACTTTCGTGGTCTTTGGTTGGCTTTCCTCCCTGCTGTGTGCTCTGGCGTTTCAGAATGAAGGTTTCAGCAGCTGCGTGTGGAGAGGTAGTGGCAAAGTGGCTACAGTGTGATGCAGTTTTAATAAAAATTTTATTACACAGCCATAATGTAATTGACATGTCTCCAAATCCAAATGATACTAAATACAGATCTACACGATGGATCAGAACGACTCCAGCAAATTAATATGGATTCTATAATTTTATGTCTTTTAAAACCAGAAAGAAAAAAAAAAAAAGTCCAAGTTCATCATGATAGGAGAGGTCCCAGCAGCTGCCAGAACTCTGCTGGAGTCCAGGCAATGTCTAACAGTCTGTCATTCCACATTTACACAATCATTTTGGTCAATGGACTTTTCAAGTACATATGATTTTAATAAGTCCATCACCGCTCCTTTGCTCAACCGAACTGTGTCACAGCTACCACACAGCTGTGTTACAGTTATCATTATCAATTTTACAGTCACAATATTTCTTTAAAACCATCCATCACTGCTTTTAAATAAAAAAAAGTAAACTAAGTTAAAGCAACACTGAGGTTCTACTAAACCCGGAAGAGTTACCAAGTTCAAATACAACTTAACTCCGTGATTCCCCATCATCCCCCTTCCTTACACAAAAGTAGGGTGAAAAAGTACAAAGCCGAGCTTCTAGATTTCTCTCCCTTTTGTGGGAATCAGCAGCTCTCAGCTGTTTCTTTAGCTTAGTTCTTGGTATATATAGTCAGCTGTATTTTGTTCTGAAAAGATTTGTTAAATGCCACTTTTATTTACATTTGGAGCTTTACACCTGAGAATGATTATCAAGCAGTCAGCTTATCTCTTTTCAAACATTTCATAAAGACATACACACCTTTTTTGCCGGCTTCACCCTAACTGCACAACAATATATATGCTCACCACAGACAGGTGTTTACACACATGAACTGCACACGCCTGTAACATCTGCAGCCTGAATCTTTGTGTTCATACTCTCCACATTCATGTTGAACACTTTCTCTTAAAAACAAAACAAAGTATTATTCTTGTTCACGTAGCAGAACAGAATCCCTAGGGAGAGACAGGTACACTGGGAAGGAAAAAGACGCACTCTATGTTCGGCCACGAAGCCGCTGGCTGTGCCCGTGGGACGAGCAAGACACCTTCACTGCCCTCCCTGGTACCAGCCTCGCGCTTCCCTCCCACCTGCCTGCCTGCCTGCCTGCCTGCCGGGCCACAGCCTCCAGGCAGGGGGCTAAGCTGGGGAGTCTTCTCCCAAGTGGGGGAGCTGATGAGGACGGGGAGGGGAAGTCACACAGCTACAGCAGTCAGGCCTGGTTATTAAGAAGAATCACATTTAATGAGTTTCTTTCTTGCAGTTTCAGATGCTCAAGTACAGCTGAAAAAAATCTGAAACAGCTATAGACCCAAGACAGACTGATACAAAGAGTACTGCATTTTTTAAAAATGATAAAAAATCCACACACGTACATACACACACACTCTCTCTCTCAAGCAGACCCCCTCCCCCCCAAATGTACACTTTTGGAAACTAAATTGGTTTTCAAAACCCCTCCCCCAGAGGTGGGAAGAGGAGAAAGATGAAGAGGAGAGAGGAAGGAGGAGTGCAGGTGCCCAGTCCCGCTCCCCCCACCAGGGTCAGGCGCCAATGCTCAATGCTTGGGTCCCAGGCAGTCCAGGAAGGAGACTGCCCAGGGCTGCTGCCGCCGTTGCCGAGGGCTCCAGCAAGAAACCCAGCTCCATGGTAATACTGAACACGTGCAGAGTGGCCAATGGACTGTGCTGGTTTAAAAAAAAAAAAAAGCAAACACAAATCTAAAGACATGGATAAAGCCCGAGAGAGCCCAGGAGCCCCGATCCACACCGGGTGGGCCCAGGGGGTTGGTGGGAGATGGTGCAGACAGGGAGATCTATACAGCAAAGGTTTATATTACAGACGACTGGCAGTTTAGAGTCTCTTCCCAGTTCTACTGCTGCTTCAGCCCAAAGAGGGCGACTCAGGGCAGGAGGAAGGGTGGGAGGGCCGCGGTGCTGGGCATGCAGGGCCAGAAGCAGCAGGCCAGGGGCCAGGTGTGCTCAAATGAGCCCCCGTCGTTTCTTGTAGTCTTCCAAGTTCAGAGATCTCCTGGGAGCCCCATCCTTGGCTGGCGGAGCCTTGGAGGTGATGGCCAAAGCCTTTGACTCTACGGGAAAGACGAGCAAACTGACATCTCAGGGACCTTCAGAGTCTTTTTAGTTTTGTGCCTCATTCCGTCAGGTGGCCTTACAGACTCTCTAAACACACCTGCAGCCCATCTTCCCCTACCTCTAGACAATGATAAGCAGACAGCCACCCCCATTTCTTCTCTAAAATCAGGCCCCTTGTTGGCTGAGGAAACCCCGGGATCTCCCTGGTTCCTGGCCGTCACCACTCCCCAACTCTCACCTACCTGAGCTGGGAACTTGTAAATCAATCTTCACATCAAAATCATGGACTTTGAACAGGTCTTCTGAGAGGTCGCTGGCTGACTTAGAATTCAAATCTTTATCCTTTCCCTGACCCTGCAATGTGAAGAGAAAGACAGACTAAGTGTATAAATGCAAGTGGACTTCAAAAGGCAGCTGCCGCTGATGGTAAAAGCTCTCGCTCCAGTTCATCAGATCTTCCCACCAAGGCCCTTTTCTGATTCCTTCTCCCAGAGGGCAAACAGGAGAGGCCACAGAGAAAGAGCTTTCTTTCCTGAACCTAAAGGCCTAGAGGAGAGGGAAGGCTCATGTCTGTGGGATGGGGGCAGAAAGGGTGGGCTCATGACAAGTCACCTTCTGACCCAAGATTGCAGGAGTTCCTGGGCCGTGTGGCTCCACAGAAAAAGACCTAACTCAGGAAGAAAACTGCTTCTAAATGGGCGGTTTCTGTCTGTTCAGCATTTTATTTCAGTTTTCAAAGAGCTTCCACCTTCACAACCATCTGATCCTCACATGTCATCTGTCCCTCCAAACTACTCTGTGAGGCAGGCAGGGTATCTAAGCTTGCTGCTGTCCAGTCGATTAGAACTCACAGTGACCCCGCAGGATAGAGGAGGACTGCCTCATAGAGTTTCCAAGGAGCAACTGGTGGATTCGAACTGCTGACCTTTCGGTTAGCAGCTGAGCTCTTAACCACCATGCCAGCAGGGCTCCGTGCCACTTACAGATGAGAAAACGTGCGTCAGAGGACCAGAAGTCAGCTGCTAAGGCCACAGTCAAGGCCCTAGTTAAGTAGCAGTGTTAGATTTAGAATGGAGCTTATAGGTTTAAAACATAGGAGCAGTTTATTAGATGTGTAAATAACTGGGATGGAGAAAGGACTGCAGGACCATGTTCCTCCAGGCAGGAAAATCAAGCGCAGACGAGGCAGGGTACTTGCTTTGAGGTCCCGGCCTGCAGCATGGCCCAGTGGGCTACAGGGTAGCACTGCACTTGCCTTGCTCATTTCCTTGGGGGCATCTGGTAACACTCCAGAGCCGTACTTTGCATTCAGCTGGGCCAAGATGGCAGCTTGAACAGCTGGGTCTCTGGACTGAGAGAGAAAGTAAATTATTTTAGAGACTGTTCAACACTCAGACAGTCCTACTGTGAGATTCTTTCTCACTTACCACCACTAACATCACAAGCACCACAGGAGACCCACTGGCAGCTCCGTGGGGTTTTCCTTAAGGCAGCCAAAGGCAATTAAAAGCTGTAAGGCCAAGCCCAGCCAGGTCCCAGCGAGGTGACCCAGTCTACACATTACCAACATCTGCTGCACTGGTATACCACCCTGGCAGGAGGGGCTTAGTCCACGGGCTTTACCAATCCACGCCAGTTTTTCACTGACTATATAGCCTACAGCAAGATAAAAAAGGAAGCATCCAGACCCAAGAGCTTGGGGCAATGAAATCACAGCTAAGACAACATTATCTTTAACTTCTTTATGAGTCTCCTAATGGAGCTCCTTCTGTGTCCCAGAATCTAGGTCCTGGCCAAGAATGCCCTCTTCAGGCACTCACGTTGGAAACGATGGTAGGTTTACACTGCCGCCTGGTGAAGGGATCCATCTGCTGGTTTTTCATGTTGTGACTTTCAGCCTGAAACAGAGACTGTGCGTTACAGGACTGTATCTCCTTCCCCGCTCCTGTCTTTCAGCATAAGCTTACAACCAAGTAACAGTCTCTGCAAGGGACTGAAAAAAATCTAATGTTGTCCATCATTCTTTTCCCTTCAAGAACACCAGAGCAGATACGGGGCAACAACCAAAAGAATGAAAACAGAAATTGACAGAAAATGAGTACCTGTGGAGGACACTCTAAGGGTGAGAATGGGTAAGACAGGGCAGAAGACCGTCGCTTTTCATTATAAATTAATAAAATTATATGGGTGTCTATGTGCATACCACCACCTGTCTGTGAGTCTGTCACCACCTGTCTGTGAGTCTGTCATACTGAGGTACTTGCATGTGGGTGTGATGCTGGAAGCTCTACTACTTAAAATACTAGCGGGGTCACCTGTGATGGAGAGGTTTCAGTGGAGCTTCCAGACTAAGACAGACTAGGAAGAAAGACCTGGTGAACCACTTTTGAAAATTAGCCAGTGAAAACCTTATGGATCACCACAGAAAACTATCCAACTCACTTGCTTTGGGCTCGTCACCAGGAGGGATCAATTGCTGGAGGAGGACATCATGTTTGGTGAAGCGGAGGGCCAGTGGGGCTGAGGGAGACCCTCAGTGAAATGCACTGGTACAACAGCCTCAGCGATGGACTCGAACATGCTAGTGACCGTGAGGATGAGGCAGGACTGGCCATTGTTTTGTTCTGTTGCACACAGGGCTGCTATGAATTGGAGTCGACTCGACAGCAGACATCTATCTAATCTATCTGCTTGTCTGTCTGTCTATCTATCTGCATGTATAAAGAAAGCATGTGTGCGCTAAATTTATAAGTTACTTAAATAATTCAAAAAATAAATTCGAGCATGATGTAGAAAAGATTTCATATCATCTTATTAATTAAAATTTTTTTCCAGATAAAGTTGTCTTACCACAAGGGCCTTCTCAGACTCCACGATGTTCCACTCCCGGTTCCGTTGGTTGATGTAACTGTGGGGCGAGTAAGAGGGATGAGTCAGTGGGCCATGAAAAGAGGGAGGGAACTGAACCGTGACCCCGGAGATATGCGGAGTCAGTGCAGCACAGTTCGTACAAGGCCACAGGCTCCCCTGATTATTTTGGCCAGGGTCTGTGGACCAAGGGTAAGGGCCCAGCCAAGATGGGCTCAGTAACACACCTGATGGCAGATATGTTCTTGGTCCGCTGGCGGTCCAGAGCCTCCGCCCGCTCCTCCAGCTCATTCAGCTGGTCCTGGATTTGTCTGGCCTTGTCCTGATCGCCCAGGTCCTCAGCCATGGCCTGCACACAAAGAGATGGGTGAGTTCTTGGCGCTGACTGGCTCTCCACCAAACATTCCCTTACTTCCAGCACAGGCCAGGTATCTCATGTGATAAACAAACGACAGGAGGCATGAAAGAACATAGAAAAAGTACAAATGAAGGTATGATTTTAACTATTCAATGAGATATCGTTTATACCTTTATTTAACGGAATGAAAATAGCAACGTTGGCAAGTGTGAAATGAATAGGATCCTTTCATACAAGGTTAGCCTCAATGAAAGTTACTGCAACTTTATGAAAAGTAACTTTGCCATTTAAATCAAAAGCTTTAATTATTTTTTTAATAATTCTGACACAGTAATTAAACTTCAAGGGATTTTGTCCTCAGGAAATAATCAAATTATCACCAGTAGGTACATGTCACGAGTTCAGGGTAGCAGTATTTCTAAGAACAAAAACTTTGGAAACAATGTATATTTTTAATTAGGATTAGCTACAAATATTTGTGCAAGGTATGATTTTTTTATAGTAGTAACGCCCTCCCATGTAGCTCCGCGGCTGTGGGGCTCTGGTGGTAGTGCTGTGTAACATGAAGCTTAGAACCCAGGGCCCATATGGCTACGCCACCATAACAAGGCTCATCCCATCCTGATGTGGAGAATGGAAAACCACACCCCAGCAGCTGGGCTTGTCTGTTCAGACTCAGTGCTGAATACTCCTCTAGGGTCTCTTATTACAGATGAAACTAAAGTGACTAGAAAGCGAGGACAATGGAATAAGCAAGATCCATTTCAATTTATAGAAAAGAAAGTGGCCAATGAATGCTGCCCAAGTGATCTGGAAGCACTGTGTTGCTTATCACTGAACCCAGAACTTTCTCCTAGTCCTGCTACCACAGACTTGGCAGAGGATGATTAAGTTGGATTTCCGCATCCCCTTACAGGCAGGGAAAGATGCTACAGCACGAGTCCTTACCTTTTCCTTTAGCAGCTGAGTCTTCTTCATAGCATAGTTGGGTGGAGCTTTTCTGAATCTTTCTTTCTCTTTTACGATCTGTACCAGAGAGGAGATACCAGCAGTGAGGTATTCCTAAGCTATGTCTGCAGACAGGCTAAGTGAGCCCACTTGGAGGCAAGCAGCTAGTTAAAGGGGGCTGCTCTTCCTACAGCAGTGGCATGCCCCAGAGAGTGAGCGTGTTCATTCCAAGAGATACTACGCTGCTTCCTGGGTCACGGAGATTCTTCTGGGACAGTCTGAAGGAACATGCACCAATAAACAGCAGCAGCCCGAGGGCCTGGTACTGTAAGGCTAGCCACTGTCCAAGAGAACAGAGATCAGAGAATTTTACCAAAATGTTTTGGAGAAAGAAAATCCTTGAAGGACCAAGTCTAGCAGAATATTCAGAAATAGAGGTCCCTGAACCCTGGATACACTTCTTTAGTCTATGATTTTAAATAAGAATGTATGAAGAAGAAGGAGCCCTGGTGGCACAGCACTTAAAGTGCTGGCCTGCTAACCGAAAGTCTGGTGCCACCAGCCACTCTGCGGGAGAAAGATGTGGCAGTCTGCTTCCATAAAGATTACAGCTTTAGAAACCCTATGGGGCAGTTCTACTCTGTCCTATAGCGGTACTATGAGTCAAAATCAACTCGTTGGCAATGAGTTTTTTTGTATGTATGAAGAAAAGTATGATGAACTTATAAATAATAAGGTAGCAATATTAGTATTCCCTCATCTTCATGCATAATAGCATAGCTAAAAATGCCAAGACATACGGAAAGAGAGGAAAACTATGATCTTCTCTAAACACAGGTTCTTGATGAACTTCTGGGGTACCCGGTTTCTTACCTCTTCAATGTCCTGATCATTGAATTTATAATTAAGAGCTTCTTTAATAGAAAATTCCTTCTTATTGATTTCATCTAGAGTGGGCAACTGCATGCCAGCAGAGAACATCTGGACCAAAACATGATAAATGGTTATTAATAGGGATTTTGGAAACAGATTTTCCCAATGTTTCCACGAACACATGCTAGGTTGTCTCTATCCACTCACCGCTTCTTTCCACTTCATGAATTCGCTTTCAGTAAATTCTTGGTTTGAGACAAACTCTAGGCGGAACACTCGTTGGTCACTGCCGTGCCTACATAAAAAAGAGCATCCGGAAAACTGTGCGTAGGGACCACAGTACCAGCACAGCAGCCCCACCACACTGTGTGCGACCTCGCTCTGACGGTCTCAATTCTGGCTTCCTTTCAGAATCATCTGAGAAGACTTACAAAAATTCCAAGGCCAAAGGATCACCCTAGATCAACTGAATCAAAACCTCTGGGAGTATGAACTGGGCACTGAAATTAGACATTAAAAAAAAAAAAAAAAAAAAAAGCAAGCAAACAAAACACCTTCCTAGGGTGTTCTAATGGTGGCCAGCGTTGAGAATCACCAAACCAGCTGTGGAAACCAAATGGACTTGATTAGGCCTCTAAAGTCCGTTTACAATGACAGTCAATCGACAACAAGAATATGCACTACTATGCAGTTGGCTGAATGACAGAGAAACTCTATTCTAGGAAGATCACTGCCTTTCTATTGACTGACCCCTCTGCTGGCAAAGGGAGGGACTCGATGCCACTGTCCTGGGCCGAGTCACTCTCTGCTTGCCACGACCATTCCCCTCTCCATCCGGTTCTTTTTAAATAGAGCAGGGGAGACGATGAGGGTGGGAGAGGGGAATGGAGAACGCATGCAGACCAAATCGGGCCACGGTAGACCTGTGTCTAGGAGCCCTGGTGGCACAGTGGTTAAGCGCTCAACTGCTAATCAGAAGGTTGACAGCTCAAACCCACCAGCTGCTCCGTGGGAGAAAGATGTGGCGATCTGTTTCCGTAAAGAGTTACAGCTTCGGAAACCGTATAAAGCAGCTCTACTCTGTCCTATAAGTCAGGTCACTATGAGTCAGAACTGACTCAACAGCAATGGGCTGGGTTACAGCTATTACCTGCTATTTGCTAAGTAATTGTGGCAAACTACGTCTTTTATTCCTTTCTATATGGGGCCTTTGAAATTTTCAGGCTCCAAGAGGGCAGGGACTTCTGTGTCTGTTTTCTTCCCTCCTCCGTCCTGATGCCCAGAACAGTGCCTGGCCCACAGCAGGCGTTCAGTAAACATTTGCTGAGTGAATGACATTCAGCTGACGGGGAAGGAGCCGGGTCCAGAAGCAAGCCTCATGCCCACGCTCACCAAGGAGGTGCCTGCAGGGCTCCGGCACTGGGCGTTTTCGTTCTGTGTGTATCTCTGTATGTTTCTCCTGTAGTAGCCCCGACTTCCCCGTGGGAGAGAAATATCCTAATTTCCGTACAGGATGCAAGTCTCTCCCGTAGTCCCTTCACTGTCTTGGTTTGGTTACTAACAAGCGACATGGCATCGGGAGAGAACAGCCCAAACAGGCAGTGCCTCTGAGAAGAGGGAGCAAAAGCTGCCACAGGAGCACCTCTTACCGTAGCTGTAGCCCTTTGTTCGTCCTGGTGCCACCCAGCTGGTAAACTTTGGCAGTTTCCACAACACCCGTGATCTCAGCTACCTAAGTAAAAAGGGGAGACGCCCGTCAAAAACAGACGGTCAGAGCTCTTCCTCTGGATCTATCTACCAGAACGTAAGGGGGCCTTGGGTAGTACAAGCGCTTTGCGATCAGCTGCGAACCTGAAGGTTGTTGGTTCAAATCCACCCCGTGGCTCAGCAGACGAAAGGCGTGGCAATCTGCTTCTATAAAGCTTACAGCCAAGAAAACCCTATGGAACAGTTCTACTCTGTAACACACGGGGTCACCGTTAAGTCAGGGGCTAATAACAACAACTCAAGTGACAATAACCACCACAGAGAGAGACCAACAGCTGCCAGGTGTCCCAGGCACCTCTCTCAGGTTCAGAGCTCAGACAGCCAAGCACGGGGGGCCCTGAGCCCGGGGTTTGTAAGTTACCAGAGGAGGCAGCCTGGTAGGGCCCATTAAAGGCTTCCCCTCCAACCTAACTCCGCCTTACTAGGTGATACACTGGGGATTTTCATCAGCTTTTATCAACCAAACATGAAGACCACCAAGGTCGTTTTCTGTGGCCAAGCTTTGTGGGACACGGTACAGCAGTGGCCCTCACAGAAGGAGGCAAACATCCTAAACCAGACAGCTCAGAACAAAAAACAATCCAAGAGCTGTCTTCCGTGTTCTAGCCATCCAGATCACAGTACTGGACCCCACATAACAACTTCTGTTAAGTTGCAGGTATTTATTTATTTTTTAACCTCAATACAATTTCATGTTCTAGTCATCATTTGGTAAGTAATATGGAACATTTCATGTATTTATTTTTCAAATGAACAAATCTTCTAGACTATTTAACTCCCATCAAACACTTCACAAGTATCTTTCCTCCCCCTTTTATACTGAAGGAGGACAGAGAAAATGATTCTCCATCTAAACCCACCCGTCCCTTGGGCTCCAAGTTTTCTTCCTGGCAGCAGATCACGCATGATCCTTGGTCGCTTCAGACTGTCACTATTCTGTGGGCATCTCGGAGTCTGTTTTCAAGCGAAATGATGGCAGAAGAGCTACAGATTTGTTCAGAAGCCCCTATCCCCTGTCGAGAATCATAATCGAAACATGGACAATTGGCCAAAGAAAGAAATACCAACCCGGTAAACTGGTTTGCTGTTATGGTTTCCAATGCCAATTCGTACAAAACATCCTGTGACGGTTTTTGCAAAGAAGGGCATGTGACACCAACGTTCCAGCTTATGCCGTGATAACCGAACCCGATTTAATTCTTCAGGTAAGGAGACTGGCTGTGATTTTGGAGGGATTTCTTCTTTCCTGTAAAGAACAAAGGGGCATTGGGAAAAGTGTTCATCCTAAAAACAGATCAGGATAAATAAATAATACCTACTTCTCAAAACTGAACCAGAGTGTATGTGATTAACTCAGTAGGAGAAATAAATGAAGCACCAGGCAAGAGTTCTAACAGAATCCTCTTCCTCACCAGTAGTGTGAACTGTTCTGAATGAAGGTGTAACAAGGGTAACAGCAGGCTGCCATCACACATAACCTATCAGAGTATGAACGCCAGTGAAAGCTCCTGGCCAATCTGAAAGGGACACAGTATCAGTTCCTATCTGCTAAGCCCAGGTGAAGTGTCCAGGGGTACAGGCTAAGTGCCAGTGGCAGGAGAAATGAATGGGCTGATGTGCTGGGGAACTCAGCTCAGCAACTCAGGGTACTGAGCCAAAGTTCACAGTCCAAATAGGTACATTTTAGAAACTATCCTGAGCTTCTCCTCAAAGAATCCACCTATCCTGACTACTAGATCAAAATGTAGACAGCTTACTCTTCTTCTTCATCAGATGATGATGTTCGGGATGAGCGGTCTGACTTTTCACTGGACTTGTCATCCTCTTCCTCTTCTTCATCATCAGAGTACACCTCACTGGTTTTTAATGGCTGTTTTTTGGCGAGGAGCTCAGCTAAAAAGAAACGGGAAACCTTTACCTAGGTTCTCAATAATAAACAGAAACATCATTCATTCTTGAAAAAGAACTGGAACTGGAAAAAGGATTCAAATACACAGCTCCATTCTCCCTGGCCTGGTTTTTGATAACTTGGGGTAGATATAGAAGTGAGGACACCAGAGAGTTAAAATCATTCAGGCATGAAACACTGGGCCCTAAAAGACCAAAAAAGTGCTGGAAGATTGTTACTTGCTGGACAGAAAGGGTCACCAACACTACTGACAGTGGGCTTTTTTTTTTTTTTTTAACATAGGCAATGATACAATTTTTATTCCAAAGCAAAAAGCTGTTACTATTTTTAAAGATAATAAGATAGACCTATATATAATATCTGTAGTATTTCCATTTTTTAACAACTTCATTGAGATATAATTTACATACCACAGAATTGACCCATTGTACGTGTAGAGTTTGATAATTTTTGATACATGTATGTAGGTGTGTAACCCTAACCTTAATCTAGTGTTAGGACATTGACCAAAACCAAAACAATTAAACGCACTACTGACAGTTGGCTTTTATTGCACTCAAGCCACATGAAGATGAGCAGGAAAGGGGGCAAAAACTCATGATGTCTTCAGAGATTCTTTGGGGGAAAACTTTGAGTTTCCAGCACTATTTCTAATAGCAGAAGACTGAAAACAACCCAAGTGTCCACAAATGGAGGCGTCACCGAGTCGTCTCTGGTACACCCACCCACTGGACTACTACACACCTGGAAGAAAGCGATTAGACTAGGCTTCTATGAAGCAGGATGGAAAAACATGGAAACACACAGGAGTGACAGCTGCACGACATGATGAAAGTAATAAATGTCACTGAAGTGTACATGTAAATATGCATACTTACCACCATAAAAATAAAAAAATATATATTTAAAAAGGAATGAGACATAACTCTATATTAGAAGTTAAAAAACGTTTTTTAAAGCACCGAATAGTAAATACTTTAGGCTTGTAGGTCATATGGTCACTGTTTCAACTATTCAACTTCGTTGTTGTAGCTAGAAAGCTGCCATAGACAATATGTGAAAGAATGGGCATGGCTGTGTTCCAATAAAACTTTATTTACAAAAACAGGAAGTCTTTCAACATCTGCTCTTTATACAACTAGGGAATGATCTTCAGGATAAACTGTTAAGTGAAAAAAGGAAGGTGGAAAAAGTGTATATAGTATGCTACCATTAAATTAATCTAAGATAGGGGTAAACCTGTCCTTACTTTTATTTTTATTTTTTTAAAGGAAGGATATCAAAAATTTGTCAAGTGGTGTGATGGTTAAGATTGGGTATCAACTTGGCTGGGCCATAATTTTCAGTGTTTATTTGTGATCACTCCCATGATGGGATCTGCTGTGAGTAGCCAATCAGTTGAAAGGGAGTTTCCTTGGGCGTGTGGCCTATATCCGCATATAAGTAGACATTCTGGCTTTTGCCTGTGCTGGATCCTGCAGCTGCCCCCTGTTCGTCTGACCTCGGGTGCTTGGGACTTGAGCTAGCAGCTTATCTGCTGATCTTGGGATTTACTGATCTTCACAGCCTGTGAGCAAAGAACCCTGCTCTCCGACCTGCTGTTCCTGGGCTCACCAGCTCCTGCAGCTACACGAATCAGGAGAAGCCTTGTGGTCTTGCCTGTCAATCTTGGGATACGTCAATCTTCACAGCCTGTGAACAAGAGCCCTGCCCTCCAACCTGCCAATCTTGGGTTCACCAGCCTCTGCGGCTACATGAATCAGGAGAAGCCTCTATCCTGATCCACGGACTTGGGACAAAACAGTCTCTACAATCACGGGAGCCGTTTCCTTGATATAAATCTCTCTGTATATATATTTATATACTTTACTGGTTTTGCTTCTCTAGAGAACTCAGCCTAAGACAAGTGGTTACCTATTATGGGAGAGAGGAAAGAGGTGAAATAGAAAGATACAGAAGCTAGACTTCTTTGAATACACCTTGTTTAATAGATTTGACTTGGGAATCACATAAATATTTTACATAATCATAAAACAAAATAATAAAAAGTCATCTCTAAACATCAAAAGCAAAGAACTGCAGTGTAGTGAATTACTTATTATGGCCCTTCTAGCCATAAACTTTGTGACTCTCACACAGTGACTGGGTGCTACTATGCAAATAAGGGGCTTGGGGTCCACCAAGGGGACTGGACAGCTTGCTGCTAACGCAAATAAGGTGCACGACTCGCTTGTGGGGGTGAGACCATGCAAATAAGGTGTATGGAACCCTCACGAGGGGACTGCTCAGTTCTGCCATCCCGCTAAGCTTAAAATGAGCCATCCCAGACGTAGAAAGGAAGGACCTCACTACCACCAAGAAAGAATGGAGCGGAGCGTGTCCTCTGGACCCAGGATCCCTGTGCTGAGAACCTCCTGATCCAACAGACAGAAAGAGCTGTCACACGGGGAAGGTGAGAGACGGCGAGAAGCAGTGGCAGAGAAATGGTGGCAGCACAATCAGGAGACTGGCAGGAGATGGCATAGTGGGCTTCCCGGCCCACAGAGCGAGAAAGCTGAGCGCCTTCGGGCAGGAGGCTTGCTGACTGAGTTGGGCGCTTCTGGGCACTTATCAGCGGAGCTAGGCTTGCTGACCCACAGAGCTAGAGAGCTGGGCGCCTTCAGGCGAGGCTTACTGGTGGAGGAGGGTACCCCAGGGCATTTGCTGGTGGAGCTAAAGAGCTGTGTAACACTGCCCAGCAGGGCATAGGCCAAGGTGTTAAAGGGCCGAGAGGGTGAGGGCCAGATAGAGGCCCGCCAGCAGGCACGGCCAAGAAGCTGTCCTGACTGAAGAACTGTATCCTGAGTCATGCCTGATCCTGAATTGTAACTTGTTACTTCCCTAATAAACCCGATAACTGTGAGTATGGTCTGTGAGTTCTGTGTGGCCACTGCACTGAATTATTGAACCCAGCAGAGTAGAAAGTGCCATAGGAGGGACAGTCAGTGTCAGAATTGGTAGAAAGGTCAGAGGGAGAAGGCATGTCTGACCTCCGCCTCAAAGGAATCAGCCTTGGGCTGTTGATCTTGATTCTCATGGCCCCTTGTGAAGTTAGGAGAGGTCAGATGTCCCCACCAAGCCATTCTGACAGGAACTAAATGTGTATTCATTTGGTGGCATTTGCTGTTGTTGAGTCAGTTCTGACTCATAGCGACCCTATGTACAACAGGATGAAATACTGCCTAGTCCTGTGCCATCCTCACAATCATTGCTGTTTCAGCCCATCATTGCAGCCACTGTGTTAATCCATCTCATTGGGGGTTTTCCTCTTCTTCACTGACCTTCTACTTTACCAAGCATTATGTCTTTCTCTAGGGACTGGTCCCTCGTGATAACATGTCCAAAGTACGTGAGAACAAGTCTCGCCATACTTGCTTCTAAGGAGCATTCTGGCCGTATTTCTTCCGGGACAGATTTGTTCGTTCTTCTGGCAGTCCATAGTATATTTAATATTCTTCACCAATACCATAATTCAAAGGCATCAATTCTTCTCTGGTCTTCCTTATTCACTGTCCAACTTTCGCATGCATATGAGGTGACTAAAAATACTATGTCTTAGGTCAGGTACACCTTAGTCCTCAAAGTGACATCTTTGCTTTTTAACACTTTGAAGAGGTCTTTTGCGGCAGATCTGGTCAATGCAATATGTTGTTTGATTTCTCAGCTGCTGCTTCCATGGGTGTTGACTGTGGATCCAAGTAAAGTGAAATCCTTGACAACTTCAATATTTTCTCCATTCATCATGGTGTTCCTTATGGGTCCAGCTGTGAAGACTTTCTTTATGTTGAGGTGTAATCCACACTGAAGGCTGTAGTCCTTGATCTTCATCAGTCAGTGCTTCAAGTCCTCCTCACTTTCAGCAAGCAAGTTGTGTCATCTGCATTATTCCCCAGAAATGAACTATAGGAAGTGACTTTAAAACATAATTTGACTGTATATGCCTAACGGGATATAGTTTAAGAGCAAAAATCTTAAACTATTTTTGGTAGCCATATTATTGATAGTAGTACTGGTACTGTCATTGTGATATTGATATGTGTCTTGTGGGATAAATCTAATGAATAATTATGTTAGTAAATTATAAATGAGAATTTTCATGTGGGCGAATGGAACTACTGCAGTAAGACTGATGAGATTAATTAAAAACCCTGAGTTTCAAGAAACAGTGCTAGGAAAACTGGATATCCACATGCAAAAGAATGAAGGCGGACCCCTTCCTCATACCATACACAAAATTAACTCAAAATGGACTTGTAGATCTAAATGTAACAGCTAAACTATAAAAGACTTAGAAGAAAATATAGGAATAAATTTTCATGACTTTCGGTTAGCAAAAGGCCTTTTAGATATGACACCAAAAGCACAGACAACAAAAGAAAAAAATAGATAAACTAGATTTCATCAAAATTAAAAACTTTCATGCTTCAAAGATACTATCAAGAAAGTGAAAAGATAACCCACAGAATGGGAGAAATATTTTACGAATTATAACTGCTGAGAGGAATGAATAATGGTGAAGCCATTTTGAGATACAGTCTAGCAGTTTCACATGACCCTGCAATTTACTCTCAGGTATATATCCAAGAGAAATGTGAACACATGTTAGTATAAAAACTTGTACATGACTGTTCACACCAGCATTATTCATAACAGCCAAAAAGCAGAACCAACCCAAATGTCCAGCAAGTGAATGGATAAACAACATGTAGCATATCCATACAATGAAATATTATTCAGGCATAGAAAAGACTGAAGTACTAATACATGCTACAACATGGATGAACCTTGAAAACATATTAAAGGCAACAAAAGACATATATTGTATGATTGCATTTACATGGAATGTCCAGAATCAGCAAATCTATACAGACAGAAAGTGGATTAGTGGTTACTAGGGCTGGGGGTGGGGCCCTGGTGGCACAGTGGTTAAGAGCTTGGCTGCTAACCGAAAGGTCGGCAGCTTGAATCCACCAGCCGCTCCTTGGAAACCCTATGGGGCAGTTATGACCCTGTCCCACAGGTTGCTATGAGTCGGAATCGACTCCACGGCAATGGGTTACAGGAGGGTTGGGGGACTTTGGGAGAAAGGAGGAATGACTGCTAGTAGGTAAAGGGTTTCTTTTGGCAGGATAAAAATTTCTAAAATTAACTGTAGTTGCAAAACCCTGTGACTTGCACATTTTAAATGAGTAAATTGCACAGTATGAATTATATTTCAATAAAGCTCATAATGTAGCTTATCCTTTAAAAACAAAACCCTAGCTGTGTACGTTGAAAAGGCTTAGGAACAACGGCCAAGCGGGAAGCACGAGCTCTCTCTGTGCCCAGACGGTGGTCTCTAAACACAACTTCTCATGAAAACGAACCGTGGCTCCTTAGAGAAATGACTGGTTCCAAATCCAGAAAGCAAGGAGGCTATCAATGACTACTGGGGTCTTGTGTCAAAAGGGCTTCAGGTTACAACTGGCTGAAGATGAGACAATCTGAGTATCAATAACTGTGATGGAGTAAAACATACGGAGTATGTTAAAATCTGTGAATTCACAGGATATTAAAAATAAATAAACAAATCTCATTGGTCACATTTGGAAGTTCCTAAGGAACTACCTCATTCTTTTGAAAACTGGTAAATAAATTAAAAAAGAAAAATCAAGCATTTATCCTGCCTAAACAGCTGATGAGAAGTTCCTCTTCACAGAATCAGACCGGCTAATAAGTGAGGAAAGGATGAGAGATGAGAATATCCCCATATTGTAACTCCTAATGAATTAAATAATCTAGGCAATGACCATCCGTGGTTGCTGGGATAGAACAATTATTATTCCCAATTCTTTTTCAGTGTGTTTGTTTCAGAGCCTCAATTTTTTTTTTTTAATTGCGCTTTAGGTGAAGGTTTACAGAGCAAATAGTTTCTCATTAAACAATTAATACACATATTGATCTGGGACACTGGTTGCCAACCCTGCAATGTGTCAACATTCTCCCCTTCTTGCCCTTGGGTTCCCCGTTTCCATTCATCCAGCTTTCCTGTCCCCTCCTGCCTTCTCGTCCTTGCCCCAGGGCTGGTGTGCCCATTTAGTCTCGTATACGTGGTTGAGCTATGTGTATTACTGTTTGTTTTATGGGCCTATCTAATCTTTGGCTGAAGGGTGAACCTCAGAAGTGATTTCAGTATTGAGTTAAAAGGGTGTCCGGGGGCCATACTCTCAGGGTTTCTCTAGTCTCCATCAGACCAGTAAGTCTGCTCTTTTTCCGTGAATTAGAATTTTGTTCTACATTTCTCTCCAGCTCTGTCCAGGACCCTCTACTGTGATCCTGTCAGAGCAGTCAGTGTTGGTAGCCAGGCACCATCTAGTTGTGCTGGACTCATATTATTCCCAATTCTTGACCTCTCCCTATACCCATGCCCTTTGCCATGCTACTCTGTAGTTCCTCCCAGTCGCACTCATGTGGGGCTTAGTCACGTGACTTGCTTTGGCCAATGGAATGTGCACAGAAGTGACATTATGCCAATTTCAAGTTTAGGCCTTAAGAGACAACACGTTTCTGCTTGCTCCTTCGATACTTCTGCCATCATCACTATGGGAAGAATGTGCCCTGGTATGCTCATCAAAGAGCCAGGTAGAGCAGACTTGGTCCCAACATGCAGCTTGAGACAATCCTAACCGAACTAGATTATCAGCCAGGCAAGCCCCAGCTGAACTGCAGGTGTTTTAGTGAGAACGAATGATTATTTATCCGAGCTTGGAGGTAGTTTATCACTTTGGATTATTGTGTTAAAAGCTGACTGATACAGCTGGTATCATTATTAAATAAGAGACAGTCAAATTATGTGCCTCCTGATGGAAGTATACACTACCATCTAAAAATTAGCTCCGTCAAAAAAATAATAAAAACAGAACAAAAATCAAACCCAAATCCAACCAAACCTCTAGATTTACCGATTTAAGGGAAACTCAAGGGACTTGAGGAACATGTTTGATGACACAAATGGGATGCAGCCAGCACCCGTGGGAAACTACAGGACAAATGGTCCAGTTTTTCCAACAAATACACTGCCAGGGGAGGGGGACGGAGACGAAAACCTATAGATTAAGTGACTTAAGGGACATATTAACACACCACCATGTGTGGACTTTATGCAAGATTCTGATTCAAACAATTTTTTTTTAAATTATAAAACAACTAGGGAAATTTAAACACTAAGTAGATATTTGATGATATTAAGAAATTCAGTGTTGATATTTTTTAGGTGTGATAATGGCATGATAATTATATTTAAAACAAAAGAATCCTTATCTTTTAGGGACACATATTGAAAAATTTACAGATGAAATATGATGCTGGGATCTACTTTAAAATAATCTGGGAGAAGAGGGGAGTATAGATTTAACAAGATTGGCCGTGAGCTGATCATTGAGGCTGGATGCTGGGTTCAAGGAGGTTCATTACATTATTCCATTTTTTGTATGTGTTTGGAATTTTCTATAATAAAGAGCTAAAAAAAAAAAGGGAAAAATAAAAATGCGCACCAGGAATCCAAATCATATGATCAAAGACACAAAACAGCCATTATATTTCCCATTACCTGTTCTGTTCTTCCGTTTTTCTCGTTCTGCTTTCAGCTCCTCCATGGCTTGAGATTTCTTATCTAGTTTCTCATCCCGTTTGGAACGCCGCTCCTTGTTGTGGGATGTTACCTGGGAAGGGTAGGACATGGAGGATGGCCCTTTTTACCAACAACTAATGATGAGATTCTTTATACTCAGCAATTAACCACACCCAGTCCTCCAACATGAATCTGTATTGGCTGTAGAAGCTTACAACTTGCTAACAGGAGACAGCGTCCTCTTGTGGACAAAGAGGATGCTCTCTCCCCTTATGCGAGTTTTAACTCTTACCTATCTACTAAACAACAAGTTTAAGACATCAGAATCAACTTTCTTGAAGAACATTCTAGATCATAAATATTCTTTGTTGACAGTATCAACAAATGCAGAGATGACTAATTTTCCCAGCTATCTTTATTATTAAGTTCAGGATGACTTACACCTGGGTAAACATCATAACCAATCTGGCTATCAGGGGCAAGATGTTTACTGACTTTCCCTTAAGAGACGCCCACAGGCCAGTGGGCTGCTTTTTAAATGCAGACGTTGGTAAATAAGTCCTAAAGAGTTTAAACAGTGTAGCCAAATATGGAATGATAAAATATGTCCAGAGATTAACAAAACCTAAAGAGTGTAGACAGAACACAATAGTTTTGCATAACTGATCTAGGCTGATAATATAAACCCATCTTTTATATCAACAAAGACACACACTCAAAACAAAGGTCTTATACTTTGGATAAGGAGGATAATTGAATTTCTCACCTGAGATTCCTGAATCTGGGTTAGCTTTTTCTTTTCCTGTTCTTCTTCCTGCTTTTTCTTTTTTTCTTTCTTTTCTTTCTTTTTGGCTGTCTTTAGTTTTTTCTTGATTTCAAATCTGGTTAAAAGATATTTGTTTGATTTCTGAGTAGCAATGAAATATTTGTAAAGATTTATTTCTATTAGACAGGAGAAATGAAGGGAGGAGGAAGGAGTTAATAAACTTTTTTTTTAAGGAGTTAATAAACATTTTGCCTTCTGGCAAGAAACACCATTGTAACGTACAAGTACATTAAAAATACTGAATAGAAGTGTACCAAGCATAGTTAGAAGAATTTTAAGTTGGAATAAACTTAAAATAGGAGGAAAAACTCAGGATACTGCTGAACTCGTCTTCAGACTTTTGGTAACACGCAACTTTTCGTCAGCCTTCGCGCAGCAGAAGAAAACAACTGATTGCTGGATCAATGTAGGTAGCAAAACTAAGCGGTGACCCATGAGAAGCAGACTGAGGCCACAGAGAGCCAGCGCCACATTTCAGGTGGCCAGGAAAAAGGCTCCATTTTTAAAATACCACTTTCCATCTCTCTTCATTAGCAAAAACACACCCCATCCCTTACAAGCACGTGCACGAATATGCTATTCTCTTCACCGAATACAACCTAGGCTCCCTCCCCATAACGAAAATCGGGTTCTTTTGAAACGAAAATCATGTTTTATAGAATTTAAGGTACTTTACAGAACAAAGGAATTCCTTTTTTAGAAAAAAGGAATCTAAAAGACATTATACTCTAATCATGACATTCTAAAATAACTCTAATTGTCAAACATTTTTTTACTTAGTTCTTAGATTACCGTATTTTTTATAATGCCCTTTTCATTCATTATTAAGGTTGCTAATATATTTTTATAATATGCGATAAGGGAGTACTGTTATGAATTTAATTTTAAAAAAATTAATAATAATTAAATAACATATTCCTACATGGGTCAAAGAAGAAATCACAGAGGCATTTAGAAACTACTTTGAGATGAATGAAATGAATATACAGCATACGAAACTTCTGAGGGAAATTTACAGCTATAAATGCCTATATCAACAAAGAACAAAGATCTCAAATCAATCACCTAGCCTTATACCTTAAGATAGTGGAAAAAGAGGAGCAAATTACACATAAACCAAGCAGAAGGAAAGAACTAATAAAGACTAGACCGGAAATTAACCAAAGAGAAAATACAAAAACAAGAGGTAATCAATGAAACAAAACGCTGACTCTTTAAAAATCAAAATTGACATAGAATATCACGCTACAACATGGATGAACCTTGAAAACATGCTAAATGAAAACAGCCAGACACAAAAGGCCACATATTGAATAACTCCATTATACAAAATGTCCAAAACACGCAAATCTATAGAGAAATAGTGTAGATTAGTGATTGCCTAGGGCTGGGGGGCTTTGAAGGAAAAGGGGAGTGATTGCTAATGGGTACAGGGTTTCTTGTGAGTGGATGAAAACATTCTAAAATTGACTATGGTGATAGGTGTACAATTCTATGAACACATTCAGGCCCACTGAATTGTACACTTTAAATGGGTGAACTGTATGCTATCTGAAATATATCTCGATAGTTATTTTTAGAAGTGAATACTAGCTTATTACTAACTTATTGTATATCATCTCACTCACAGCTTGAGGAGAAAGCTTAGGCAAGAATGAGTATGTGACTCATTCGGATCACCTGGCCAGCAAGTCTGAACTGAGCCGACCATCTTCTGCCTGAAATGTCAGCGCTCTCTCCACAACCATGCTACCTTCAATACTGCCTGCCCCCACCTTTAAAAAACAATGAAGCAGTGTAAGAACAGATGAAGACTCTAACAACTGAAAATCGTATTTCATTATTGGTGCTGCTGGCTATAAAATGGGATGCTAATGGTGCTTACATAAAATACTGTTATGAGGACTATTAATGCAATCCACACGAAGATCTTTTAGTGTGAGAAAGGTGGAATCTCAGAAAGCTTTCTGAGTTGCTCTGATGCACTGCTTTGCAGTTAACCAAGCGAGCTACAAAAATCTCAATTGTCTGTGTAAGGCTCTGAACCTTGCTCTTAATTATCATCATCCTCAACAGTCTTCCAGTCACTAAAAAAGTTACACTTAACCAGTCAACTCACTCCTTCATATAAGGTGAAACAAAAACCGAGTTTGAGACAAGCCCCACATTACTTTTGAGCATCTTTGTGATTTTATTACAGTGCCCTATTGGCCTTATATGAGAACCCCTTGTTCCACTCTTCACGGTTCAGAAATACCAATTTCAGGAGTCACCTCTGACCAGGTGGTAGCTCCCACACAGTTTCTTAATTCCTCTTTGTTCCAATACAGGTAATCTTGGAAGCATTCACACTTAAAACAAAACTCTACGCTTGCTGCTGACTGAAAGCCAAATTTTCTTGTCTAGGATAACTTACCATACTTAGATGGTCTCCAGAAGGGACAACACTCTTTCAGATGAAATGGAACTACCTGTTGCCAAAGAAAATGCTTCTGTTTTTCCTTTATGACATTAGAAATGAACTACATAGAGAAAATCCTAGTTCTGAGGACTATCTTATTTTCCTAGACAAAAGCCAAGTTTACTTTTGCCTTGAATTCTATAAAATAAGAACTTTTGCAATTTAAATAGGACAAAAATAATTCAGAAAATTGAAGAAGCTAGTGGTAACTTTGGTGAAGGGAAGCCAGCACAACTTGACGAAGGCAAAGTCACATAAGCTTAATAGACACATCCAAATTTCCGTAGGGATTGAGTTACCAGACTGAAGGCTGGGGGCCATGGTTTTGGGGGACACCTAGCTCAACTGGCATAGCATAGTTTATAAGGAAAATGTTCTACATTCTATTTTGATGAGCAGTGTCTGAGGTCTTAAAAGCTTCTGAGCGACCATCTAAGATACGTCTCCTCATCTCACCCCGTCTGGAGCAAGGGAGAGTGAAGAAAACCAGACACAAGGGAAACATTAGTCCAAAGGACTAACGGACCACAACTACCACGGCCTCCACCAGACTGAGCCCAGCACAACTAGATGGCGCCCCGCTACCACCAACGACTCCTCTGACATGGATCACAATAGAGGGTCCTAGGCAGAGCTGGAGAAAAATGTAGAACAAAGCTCTAACTTGCATAAAAAAGTCCAGAATTACTGGTCTGATGGAGACTGGAGAAACCCCGAGAATATGGTCCCCGGACACCCTTTTAACTCAGTACTGAAGTCACTCTTCAGGTTCACCCTTCAACCAAAAATCAGACAGGCCCATAAAAAAAAACAATAATACACATAGTTCAACCATGTATATGAGACTAAATGGGCACACCAGCCCAGGGTCAAGGACAAGAAGTCAGGAGGGGACAGGAAAGCTGGATGACGGAAATGGGGACCCCAAAGTCGAGAAGGGGAGAGTGTTGACATGTCACGGGGTTGGCAACCAATGTCACAGAACAATATGTGCATTAATGTTTAATGAGAAACTAATTTGCTTTGTAAATCTTCACCTAAAGTACAATTAAAAAGAAAACAGAAGAAGCTTCTGAGTAACAAAAAGCAATTTAATTTCAGTAGACAATGTTGTTGGACTTTGATTTGGAGTCACATTGTATCTGTAGATTACTTTGGGCACTACTGACATTTTCATAACACATTAAGTCTTCTTATGCATGAGCACGGCATGTTCTTCCATTTATGTAGGTCTATTTTGGTTTCTCACAGAAGTGTTTTATAGTTTTCTTTGTATAAGTCTTTTATGTCCCTAGTTAGATTTTCCTCATGAGCACAATTAAGTGTTCCGGAATTCCCATTCTTCGCAATGTTATCCATAATTTGTTATGATGCACAAACTCAAATGTCTTTGCATAGTCAATGAAACACAGGTAAATATCTATCTGGTATTCTCTGCTTTCAGCCAAGATCCATCTGACATCAGTAATGATATCCCTTGTTCCATGTCCTCTTCTGAATCCAGCTTGAATTTCTAGCAGTTCCGTCAATGTACTGCTGCAACCGCTTTTGAATGATCTCCAGCAAAATTTTACTTGTATGTGATATTAATGATATTGTCTGATAATTTCCACATTCTGTTGGATCACCTTTCTTTGTAATGGGCACAAATATGGATCTCTTCCAGTTAGCTCGCAGGTAGGTGTCTTCCAAATTTCTTGGCATAGATGAGTAAGCACTTCCAGCACTGCATCTGTTTGTTGACACATCTCAATTGGTATTTCGTCAATTCCTGGAGTCTTGTTTTTTCTTTATGCCTTCAGTGCAGCTTGGACTTCTTCCTTCAGTACCATTGGTTCTTGATCATATGTTACTTCCTGAAATGGCTGAACGTCAACCAATTCTTTTTGGTACAGTTACTCTGTGTATTCCTTCCATCTTCTTTTGATGTTTCCTGCATTGTTCAATATTTTCTCCATAGACTCCTTCATTATTGCAACTTGAGGCTTGACATTTTTCTTCGGTTCTTTCAGCTTGAGAAATGCCACACGTGTTCTTCTTTTTTGGTTTTTAAACTCCAGGTCTTTGCACATTTCATTATAATACTTAGTCTTCTTGAGCTGTCTTTGAAATCTTCTGTTCAGCTCTTTTACTTCATCATTTCTTCCATTGGCTTTAGCTGCTCTACATTCAAGGGCAAGTTTCTGAGTCTCTTTTGACATCCATTTTGGTCTTTTCTTTCTTTCCTGTCTTTTTAATGACCTTTTGCTTTCTTCATGTATGCTGTCCTTGATGCCATCCCACAACTCATCTGGTCTTTGGTCATTAGCGTTCAACACATCAATCTATTCTTTAGAAGGTCTCTAAATTCAAGTGGGATATACTCAAGGTCATATTTTGGCTCTTGTGAACTTATTTTAACTTTCTTCAGCTTCAACTTGAACTTGCATATGAGCACTGATTGTCTGCTCCGCAGTCAGCCCCTGGCCTTGTTCTGACTGATGATATTGAGCTTCTCCATCGTCTCTTTCCACAGATGCAGTCGATTTTGATTCCTGTGTATTCCATCTGGTGAGGTCCCCATGTACAGTCTCCATTTATGTTGGTGAAAAAAG